AGCAGTACGTATGAATCAGCCACGCCTGCAGTGCCACAGCCTGCTGCTTTCTGTCCTGAACAAAGCAGTGGTTTCACCAGTTAAATCTGGGGATAATCATGTTTTCATGGAGGACAGTTTCAGACATCTTTGTACTCGTCTTCCTGGGTTCTGGAAGAGTGCCACCTTGGCAAACAGCAAGAACAAAAGGACAGTACTGAAAATACCTAGTCTGTGGCAGTCTTACTGTCACCACACAGCAGGTTTGGACAGCAGCAAAATTAGACAGACAACTCTGTCCAGTTCTCTTCATGTTTTAGAGAGCCTGATCTGTCTGATGGCGAGAATGAAACATTTTAGCATTTAGAAAGGTTGAAATGTCCTTTGCATTCTGAAAAGTGTTGTTCTTGTTCCAGGAACTCTTTTATTTGCACAAACTCACAGCTTCTGTTTTGGGGATTCCACAGTACTTTATAAAAGCTTATTTGGGGTCATACCTGTAATTGATACTTCTGTCAGTGTGATAGAGAATCAGGAAAATCATTTAACCTACAGTTGAGGGCACAGTAAATCAGGATCATAAATTGTTGGACTGTTAAATGAATAGAAGGCAATGCTAGGAGTCTGAAGGAAACTTCTGCCTGGAAAAGAAATCAAATCCAGACACAGATCCTAAAGAGCAGCTCTCTGATACCAAAGATGCCACAAAATATTCTAAAACATTGCTACATCCTGTCTGTACAAACAGCGTAATGGGATTTGTCTTGTGACTGGGGAAACTAATGGACTTCAATTAAAGTGTAACAGTTTGCTGAATGACTCATTCAATTTCAACCGTGGGCTGATAAAATTGTATCGAGTGTTCAGTCTGGCCTTTGAATAGGTTTTGAAACACTGCCTGATGTGTACAGCAGTGCAGAGTGTTCAGTGCTCAGTCCCTGGGATGTGTGCACCTCTTTGCATGAGCATCCCATCCTTTATACTTCAGTACAATATTACTGCACAGTGCACTTGTTGCTCCCTTGTGTGCTTGGTACAGTTCTTGCTTGTTGGTACTTTAGAGAAGGAAGAACTTGCAGAGCCTCAAAAGTAACTGTAGGTACTTGTGCTGATGACAGGCTATGTCTGCTAAAGTGAACAATAATATTTTCCCCTAGATTGCCCCCCTGTCACGCAGAGCATGTCTGTGAGGAGATAAAACTGTCACAGTTTACTGAAACCAAATTTTCTAATCTTGGAATATCATATTCTTAATAAGGAACTATACCATCTATATCAGATTATATTATTTGTATAACCTATAGGAAAATAGGCTATACAAATTAGCATTCATATAAATAGCATTCATAGGCTATATAAATTAGCATCCATATGCTAAGTGTATCTGGAAGCAAGTATTATGGAAGGCATGTTTATCTTCCTGCTGTCTTCCCTCGTGTATGTTTATTCTTTTTGAATGGAATCTCAAAACTAGAGATTGTTTTGTGCTGGTCCAGATGTCCCAAAGCTTTTGGCAGGAGAAAAATGTTTGAGATGCTTTAGGAAGGTCAGGGATTGCAGGTGTGATGAAGTGTTCACTTGAAGTTTGATTTAAATACCATCTCTCTAGAATTCCCTTAAAATTACAGTCCTTTTACTGTCGAAGAACATAATTGATTCTATTTATTCCAGGCAGCCTTCCAGATTTTAAAGTGTACACAGAAACACAAGCTGCCAGCTATACTTGAAAACTGTTTCTGTTTACATTCTTGCTTTCCAAATCCAAACCCTGGAGGCGTGCTTACATGTGCAAGTGGAATGAATGTGCACACAGTGCCTGCATGCACCATTCCAGCACATGCCTGTATCCCAGCTTGAAACAAAAGCTGCTGTCTTTGTGCAGTTGCTCTGAAAATTGTAGATTTTGGGATGTCACATTTGGACCATTTGCAAGTTTTTTAAGAAAAGGTACTGAGTTGTCATTTAAGGTTTGAATTCTTTAAGGAAGCCAGTGCTGATGTTTGTTTTGAAGAGATGCTTGGCTAAAAGGATTTACATTTTTGATGTATGTGTGTCCCCCACTCCTGCCTCTGTTTCTTTGTTGCTGGGAGGGAGGGAGAGAGGAAAACTTGCAGTGGCAGGAGGCCCCATCCTTGCAGCTGCTCTTGCCCAGCCCTGCTGCAGTCAGGCAGCCCCACAGTGCAGACCTGCATTGGGCTGACTCCATGGGGATCTCAGGAGGGAGCTAAAGCAACAGAAGGCAGCACAAGAAAGGGAAAGTGAGTTGTTCTCTGCCTCTGCCATCCATCTGACCCGTAACTAGTTGGCTCAGGGAGCCCCAGTGCCAGCAGGGTGAGGGGTGAGCATACACACCCTTGGGCTGGGTGAAAATGGGCTCTCATGGTTCAGAAGAGCCTCAGCAGGATGGTGGAACTGCAATTAAAAGGCTGCTGGTGCAAGCTGAGTCTGTGTTGTGAATATTTAATTTGGTTGTATCCATCTGTACTATCATTGTGTGTATGTGGACAGGAAAGCTCATATGACTGCATATTCTGGTTTGTTTGGGGGCTTTGTGCTGCTTTGTGCCATAACAGCGATGTGCTTCTGCCTGTGTTTGCACTTAAGAAATGTAAATAGGCATGTGATTCAGTGATATGGAGAGGGAACCTTGTTCATGCTTTGCCTGATCAAAAAGATGCCATTTAACTTGTGTACTTCATTTTATCTGGGAGCTGAGGATAGCTATCAGTGGTTTGGAACCCTCTGAGTTACTCTGAATGGTGTTATTTGGGTTCACTGGTAGTGTTTTGGAATTGGTAAGCTTCCCAATTCTGGCTCTGTAAATACACTGTGTGTGCTGGGAGCTTTCCATTTCAGCATCCGCTCGCTGAGGCTGCCACAGTGATGGGGGAAATAAAGCAGCTTCTTTAAGCTCTTTCTTAAAAAGAAGTCAGTTGCAAAGTGTTTCTAAATATGCATGGGGTGGTACTGGAAAAGCATTTTTCTAAATCTGCAGTGGCACTTCAATAGTTCTGTGGATATTTTTAAAAGCCCAAACTGCATCTACAAAGGAAGGATTAAAAAAGACAACCCTATTGCTACTCAGAGTTGCTTAGGAAGCAGTGGAATTGCGAAAACATCATTTTCATTCTGATGTTTCTTTGTAAGAACTGAAGTGTCCCAAGAGCAGGTACTGGATGTACTTGGAAGAAAACTTTTTAGAAAAGAAATGCTAATACAGCAGGGAGGATCACTTTTTCTTTATATATAAAATGTTATACGTGAATTTTATATGTACATAATTTAATTAATATATGCAGAAATATATTTTTAAATAAATACATATTTTTTAAAATTTGCTGAGCAAAAGGCAAGCATTGCAACCATTGCTTTTCCACAGTGAGAGCTTTCAGGAAGCTGATCCAACAGAAGACATGTGAAGCTGTTGGCTTGTGGGTTTCCCTTCCTTTCTGTTCTTAAGAAAACTGAGATACAGGAGCAGTCCTAAGAGGGTTTGTGACTGTGGTGATAAGACAAGGAGTGATGGGTACAAACTGAATGAGGGTGAATTTAGGCTAGGTAAATGTTAGTGTTGACTGTGAGGGTGGTGAGGCCCTGGCACAGGGTGCCCAGAGCAGCTGTGGCTGCCCCATCCCTGGAATTGTCCAAGGTCAGCTTGGACAGGGCTTGGAGCAACCTGGGACAGTGGAAATGTCCCTGCCCATGGCAGGGGAGTTGGAATGAGATGCTCTTTGGGGTCCCTTCCAACCCTTAACATTCTGTGATTCTGTGATGGATCTATCCAAAATTAAGAGCAGTGAATGCACAGATAAGCACCTCTGTTTCATTACAGAAAAATGTAGAATACTGTGTGAAAATATCAGGATTCCAGTAAAGAAGACCAAATATTTTGTTACATGAAGTGTTCTTCAGTCTTGTCACAGGATGCCAACAATTTGTATGTGGAAACATTCTGAACAAACTGGATTTCTTTTGCAAATACACAAATATTGCCTCTGGTTAAGGAAATTAAAAATAGGTAGGGATTAGGACTGTTTGTTGGTGAAGTGTCACTGTGTGCCTGCTGGGTAGTTCTGCTCTCTTTTTGGCATCTCCCCTCACCCACTGGGCTATAAAACATCTCTGCTCTGTCCAGACTCTGGTTTTCTCATGCTCTGCCCCATTCTCATTTTCTCTCTTTCTCATACTCATTTCCTCTGCTCTGAGATGGCCAGAGCAGCAGATAGAGGGTCACACACGTGTTCCTCTCCTTTCCTTTGGCTTGGCAGGGACATTCATGCAGCTGCCAGAGGGAACTGGAACGGGGCATTGGCACTAAATAAAACAAGCCCAACTACAAAGTGTTAGTGGGGCTCAATTCTTCTGTCTCACTAATGGAAAAAAGGGTTTGTTGTTGGTGTAAGTAGCTTATACTGATCTGAAACAGCTATGGCCAAAACTTGTGTATGCATGAATTCTTAAAATCAAGTTTAGAGCTTTTAGTAAATATTTATAACTATAATATAAGTGTTCTTTGAATATTTAGAGGTTGGAGATGAGAAAAAAACATTTTTCAATGTGGAAGCCTTGGTTTAGCTAAACTTAAAAGAGCTGATGGTTTGTATCATCCAAATTATAATTAATGCTTCACTTTGCAAATTAAAACTATGGAGAACTTGGCTTGAGATCTGGTTAAAAATTTCTATAATAATTTGAGTATTAGGTATTTTCATCCCTCTGCTATTGAAATGTTCATTGAAATTAATTTAAAGTTGAGATTTTAAAAAATCCTCTATTCTAAAGACTATATGTATATTGGCATTTTTCCAAACTAGTGTGTTTCTATTAACTGTTTTGAGTAGATATTTAGATTCAAGTACAAGTTCTTAGGCTTGTTTTTATCAAGTCTTTCTTGTGAATGTAAAATACAGCCCTGAATATTCATCTATAATTATTAAGTGGCGTTTGAACCATTTTATCTGAGATTCTGGGTGATGTTTGTATTTTAAATGTTGACATTTGAATTTCTGATTTTCACTCAGGTCTGCACGTACGAATCACTGCTTGAAGAGCTTGAAGTACAAAGTTACCCCAAGATTTAAAAATGCCTCCACGGCCGTCATCCGGTGAACTATGGGGCATCCACTTGATGCCCCCCAGGATCCTGGTGGAATGTCTCCTCCCAAACGGAATGATAGTGACTCTAGAATGCCTCCGTGAGGCCACCTTACTGACTATTAAACATGAACTCTTTAAAGAAGCAAGGAAGTACCCTCTCTATCAGCTCCTTCAAGATGAATCTTCTTACATTTTTGTAAGTGTTACACAGGAAGCAGAGAGAGAAGAGTTTTTCGATGAAACGCGGAGACTTTGTGACCTGCGACTGTTTCAGCCTTTCCTGAAAGTTATTGAACCAGTAGGTAACAGAGAAGAGAAGATTCTTAATAGAGAAATAGGTGAGATTATCTTTTTTCAAAAACATTGTTTAACTGATTATCCTCTTCAAAATGGGTCATATCTGTCACATTTCATACCTGCCAGTTGTTGCATCAAATGTCCAAAGATGCTGATCATAGTAAAGCCAATATTTATAATCAGCGAGTTAAACTCCTGTTTTCTGATCTATTTCATTCACCTTGGCTTTGTAAAGCATATTGGTGGTTGCCTGTGGGTTAGAGGGTATCTTTTTGCTTGTCTTTTATTTGCAGGATTTCATATTATTACAGAGCAATGCCTGTCCTGTTATTTGGGAAGTCAGTTATAATTTAGTTTGGAGTTTACAGAATTGTACATTCTAGATTTAACATTCTAGATTTGTGGACACAGATTTTAATACTGCTCTAGCTTGCTTACAAAATCAAATTCCAGAAATTAGGTTTTTTCACCTTTCTTCATCCCCCTTCTGACAAAAGGCCATGGGGAGAGGAGGGAAAAACACCTGAGGTTGGAGATGTGAAGGCGAGACAAATTGATGTTTTGAATCATCTCTGGAGTAGCTTATGATTTTCCATGGTCATTTGTGGAAGCACAGAGAATCTGGCATTTGTTCCAGCATCTTGGTTAAGAATTAAATTGAGGCAGTACAAACATACCCACTCCTGTTTCATTGCTAACAAATGTGTACTGCAGTGGCAGAGGCTTGTCAACTGGAAATACTTGTTCTGAGGTACTGCTAATTGTTAAATGATTTAATTGTGACGAATGCATAATAAGTAAATTGCTTCTGTTTTGTAAAGCTCAACGTGTTCAGGACTTGGGGAGAGCAATGGTTAGGTAACCATGCAACACAGCAATTGAAAGTTTCCATTTGAACACTCATGCATAAGTGATGATTTATCCAAGTAATCCCATTAAAGTAAATGGAATTACATCTGAAGGACCTGAAAGAAATGCACTGTTATTATATGGATCTGTGTCAAAGAGCTTAAGTTCAGTGTCTCTTGGAGTGTTCATTGCAGTTCTTGAATAATGTAGGTCATTAAAAAAAAAATTAATAGCTCTCATTCCATTGTAAGCAAAGTTGATTATGGTCCTAATAGCTACCAATAATCCTGCCAGGGTTTGAGAAAAAATCAAATTTCACAGCTCCTCTAGTCCCCTTAGGAAACTCTGTGCTGACTTCAAAGGAAGTTGAGTCCTGGTCCTTTTCCTCTAGGAGGAATGTTGGCTGTGAGAGCAGTGATTTAAGGCTTCCAGGATCTTCAGGCAATGTACACCTGTTTTCTAACCTTTTCTGTGTCTGCTGAGTGCACTGAACTTTAGAATTGTGTAGTTCTTGAATGATATAAAACAATTACCTATGCATGTAGAAACTGGCACATATTTTAGGCTATGTTTTGCTTTATCTTGGCTTTTTTTTGTGACTGATTGAAGGCATTTTTAGCTCTGCCTGTCAGTTACACTGATATCCCCATGCTGCTCCAATGCTGTAGGTTTTGCTATTGGCATGCCTGTCTGTGAGTTTGACATGGTCAAGGATCCAGAAGTACAAGACTTCAGAAGGAACATTCTGAACGTGTGCAAAGAGGCCGTGGACCTGCGAGACGCCAATGCTCCGCACAGCAGAGCGCTCTATGTCTACCCTCCCAACGTAGAGTCCTCAGCTGAGCTCCCCAAACACATCTACAACAAGCTAGACAAAGGTAAGGGCAATGTTTACAGCAGAAACATGATGTATTTTCAGTGTTTGAAATCAAAGAGTACAGCTGTTGACTTGATCACTGTTTTATGTGCTGTATTTAGTACACTCCAGCAATATCTTACACCTTCAGCTGTTCAGAATAATCTTCTTGATGGACCCTACATTCAAAAGGATATTTAAAATTGTGCTATTCTAACTGAATCTTGAAATATAACTCAGTAAATAGAGATGAATTTTTTTTAGTGGGTGGAAACAGCTTGTCGACTTTGCAGTTTTCTGTGGCATTCAACTATCTGGAATTAAATTATGCTGAATCACTGAGTTATTTTGCAGTCCTCAAATATGAAAGAGTTACTGCTGTTTTCTTGAAGGCCAAATAGTCAGTAGTTAATAAAAATATTCTTAACCTCAGGGCTGGCTAAAAGTTTGAATTTCCACTAGAGTCAAAAATAAACTTAATGCATCTAGTTCCTTGCAGAAATTATAAACCCTCTCTAAGTTTGGGCAATGAATCTTGTTTACATCTTCTTTTAATGCTAAAAGCAAATCTTTGTTTTGGGGAGGCATGGGAGTTGTTTAGTTTGGGGGTTATTTTGAGTTTGTGCTTTTTCTTTGGAAACTGCATTTAAAATTATAGGCCTGACATTATTTTATATTTATTCCAGGGCAAATTATAGTGGTGATTTGGGTAATAGTCTCACCAAACAATGATAAGCAGAAATACACCTTAAAAATCAATCATGACTGTGTGCCTGAGCAAGTTATTGCTGAAGCTATTAGGAAGAAAACTCGAAGTATGTTGCTGTCATCTGAACAACTGAAACTTTGTGTCTTGGAGTACCAGGGCAAATATATTTTAAAAGTCTGTGGCTGTGATGAATACTTGCTAGAAAAATGTCCACTGAGCCAGTATAAGGTGAGTAACATAAAGGATTTCTTTTGAACTATACCAAAATAATCCAAATTTGTGGGGAGAAAAATGATCAGTATTAGGTCTGGCTTTTTCATTAAATTAATCCAAAACATAGCATGTGACAGTATGTGCACAAATTGGCTAATCCATGTGCTTCAGAAGGGAGAGGGGGAGAAAAGGTAGTTTTAATTAGAATTTGTATCACTCATATAATTTTTCTTCTTTGAATGTTTTCCTCTAATGTTAATGCTAAATCAAAGGTAGGTACTTTCAGAAATATCCTAGATTTTTAATGGCAAGAGATGAGCTATATTTGAATGGTGCTGATGTAATAAAACAGGAAATTTGATCAGATTGTAAATTATGAAACAACCATTACTACTTTAAATCCTGTCCTAAAGAGGTGGTAAAAGAGCAAACTCTTTTCCTGTTACAGCTTTATCATTACTTGAACAAGATAAAAAATGTAGACATCCAGCACTACAGAAATCATTGCTGAGTCTTCCTTGTGTCTGTCTGTCTATCCTTCACTGCCTGGGTTTGTTAGTGCTGGGAGTGTGAGAGAACATGGGGCAGAGGAGCATCTGAGCAGCTGCTGCTGCTTCCTCTTGGAGGAATGTATTGTTGTAATAAACTGCTCCCATTCCTTCAGCTAAAAGGTTGACAATCTGATCTTCAGAGCAGTGGAGGAGAGAAAGAGGGGTGGGGTATCCTGAATAATGGAGAAAGCATCTCTGTACTCTGGGAGCTGGGGAACAAGTGCAGGCATACATGAATAATTTTGCAGAGTCATCTGAAGATCAAACACCAGACCTATTTGATCTAGCGTGGTTTCTTCAGAAGCATCTGCTCTGCCTTTGCTGTGCCCCAGCAGAGCCTGCTCATTAACTCCAGGCTGGACCTGTCCTAACACACTGTGTTTTGTGGTGCTGTTGCCAGACTAAATGCTCTCAGCACTCAGACCTGAATGGACAGGTGAAGTGTGTCAGGATCAGTGCTGAGCCTAAGGTAATGAGCACACCTGAGCCAAAAATGAGCCTGTCTGCTGCTTACCTTGTGCTCCCTGCCTGGGACTGGCACTGTCAGGCACCTGTGCTGCACTGCAGGCTGGCACAGCCCCTGCTGTTCCACAACAGCTCAGTTGCTTCCAGGAGCAGCTCCGATCCATCTGCTCTGTGCTGTGCTGTGCTGGGGAGCTCTACAAGAAACCTGGCTGGTGTTTTTTTCAGCCCCTATCTCTCTCTCCAGTTCAGCCTTCCATTGTTGTAGATGTTCACAATTCAGAACCATGAGGTGTGGCTGTGTGACCCTACCCAACAGCGTGTCCAAACTCCTGGGTGCTGTACCTGCTGCCACTGTACAGGATGTGCATGCAGGACACCATTAGCTCTTTCACTTTCCTATCTCCTCCAGTATCTTTGTAGGTTTCCATTAACAAGAGTGTAGGCTTTGAAAAGACACCGCACTTTTGTGGTGTTCCTGAGGGTCCCCAGGACGAGCTGAGAGATGAGAATTTGACTCCATGTTCTCAGAAGGCTGATTTATTATGATATATGATATGATATGATATGATATGATATGATGCTGTACTAAAACTATACTAAAGAAAGAGAAGGGATACACCAGAAGGCTTAGCAAGAATGATGATAAAAACCTATGACTGACTCAGAGAGTCCAATACAGCTGGCTGGAATTGGTCATTAATTAAAAGCAATTCACATGGAGCCAATCAAACATTCACCTGTTGGTAAACAATGCCCAAGCCACATTCCAAAGCAGCAAACACAGGAGCACAATCAGACAATTACTGTTTTCATTCCTCTCTGGGGCTTCTCATCTTCCCAAGAGAAAATCCTGGGCAAAGAGGATTTTTCAGATGGCACACCTTGGTTGTTTCCTTGCAGTACATAAGGAGCTGCATCATGCTTGGCCGCATGCCCAACCTGATGCTGATGGCCAAGGAGAGCCTGTACACGCAGCTGCCCCTGGACACCTTCACCATGCCCTCCTACTCGCGCCGCATCTCCACCGCCACGCCCTACATGAACGGGGAGGCCACCACCAAATCCCTCTGGACCATCAACAGCGCCCTCAGAATAAGGATCCTCTGTGCTACCTATGTAAATGTGAACATCAGAGACATAGACAAGGTATGGCATTGCTTGGGCTTTGCAGCAGCTTGTTTCCCTCCTGAGTGTTTTGTTTTGGCATTGGAAAAAGTTCTTATATAACACATCAGAAAATGATACCACTCTTTAACTTAAATTGAAGTATTGAATTCTAAAGAGCACACCCATATTTTAGCATCTAGAAACTTTTCTATACTACTTAAAAAGTGTGAGTTGTGGTAACTAGCTAAATATTCTGCCTGGTAGGAGCAGGAGTCAGTTTGCGTAGCGCTCCAGCAGAGATGGTAATGGATAGAAAAAGAAATCTGTCTTCTAAGTAATTGTGTTTAAAAGTGTATTACAGTAACTGAGAGTGCTTTTGATGAGGGCATGCTGTCTTTGTTTTTGGAAATAAAGACAAAAGGCAGGTGTAGTGTTCAATTCCACTGAAGACATCTACAACCCTGACTCTCTTTCCTCAGAATTCCTTTCCCAACACCTTGGCACAGGAAGAATGGAGAGTAAATTCCAGGGGTGATTTTTTTAGTGTTGATTTCAAGTTTGCTACTGTATTTTTTAAGAACTAGTTTTGCCATTAATGAGGAGAAAGACCAAAACACTTTTTATAGAAGGATATGCTTATAAACTGTGCTGTACACCCAACAGAGCATGAATTAGGGTTCTGGGGACTGGTAGAGCAGTTTGGTTTTCAGTTTTGGTTTTGTTTTTGTTTTGTTACTGAAAAAGAAAGGATAATGTGCTGTAATCATGGTATGTGTTGACTGCAATGAAAACATTTGTTTACAGTAACATTTCAGAGACTAATATGGTTCTTGTTTTCAGATCTATGTCAGGACAGGTATCTACCATGGAGGGGAACCTTTGTGTGACAATGTGAATACTCAGAGGGTACCTTGTTCTAATCCCAGGTAAGATGAATACCTGACTTTCAGGGCATCATAAATGATAGCATTGAAGGAGTAAAGGCTCCACTTAACCATTACTCAGGTAGAGATCCTTACTGGGAATCCTTTACCTGAAGTTTTATAAATATATTACATAACCCTATATATATAAATAGCATTAATTTAATTCAAACACAAGCATTTTGTCTTGCACATAATAGTGTAGTATAGAATATATTTTCAGGATGTTTGACAAACCATCAATACTACCTGGAAAAAATGAATCACCTGAACTTACAAGTGCAAAAAGAAGTTTTATATGAGCATATATAAACATTAGGGACATCTTTTAGCCACCTGTTCTCATAAGTGTAACTAATGAAGAGGTGTGAAATTTCAGCATCTGCTAAGATTAGATGCAAAGTATCTGTGCAGAAGTAGTTCTTTGCTTGCATTTTCTGACTTCATGTCTTTAATGAAAATTTTTGAAACTCTTATTTTTATCCGTACATTTTCTATGAATATGATTAGGTTTTATAATTAAAGAACTAATAATATACATAGTTAGTGAAAAATAGGCACTCCTCCTGAGTTGCCCCTAATACTGCTGTACTTGAGCTGATAATTTCAACTATTTTAGAGATAAAATCTTGGAAAGGTGGTGAAGGTTATGCCTTAAAATCATGGATGTGTCACATAGATCAGTATTATGTGAAATGAACACATAAGAAAAGTGAATTAAAGTTTATCTGCCAATTTCTTTATTCTTAGAGAAGGGCTTTCACAGTTATTTCTTTGTAAAATTGCTTTCAGTAGCTACAAATACACTGAAAAATTAATGCTGTCCTTGGAAACTGCTTTCTCTTTCAACTGAGAAAATTCTGTATGACAATCTGCTTAGGGGAAGAAACTGGATCAGAAGTTCCTCTTCAAAAGCACAGCTCTACCAACTGAGAGATGAATTCTGCTTAGAGAAATTCATGAAAACAAAATCAAACTATTCCTGTAAAAGCAATCTGTGCTATTATTACTATAGTAAATAGAAAAATATTTGACTTGGGAATATTGCTTTGGATTTCCATGTTCTATCCCCATCTTGCAGATACCTTTTTATGTTCCAACAGTTGAAGTTTAGTTTGGTTTTGAAAGCTCTTTTTCCCAGTTGCCTTTTTCCTCTGAAGTGAAAACTGTTTGACAAGCTAAACCTTACATCAGTGTAGCATTTATGCAAATCCATTATCTTTAGGTTGCAGGAATTGAACCTAACATGGCTTTTTAAGCAGCATTGGGGCTAGAAGGCTGTTGAAGAAGTTTCTATCCCCAAAAGCAGTGAATGTGGTCAAATGCATATGTGGGGACCAGAAAGTGTGCTCTGTCTGCAAATACACAGTTTAGGAATATAACAAATGCCTTTTGGTGGGGTGATGGTGTGTACTTTAACCTGGTTTAACTCTGCCTTTGGACCTGCAGGTGGAATGAGTGGCTGCTGTACGACATGTACATCCCTGACCTGCCCCGCGCCGCGCGGCTCTGCCTGTCCATCTGCTCTGTCAAGGGCCGCAAGGGTGCCAAGGAGGTAAAACACCCCCGCCTTTGTTGTGCTACTGAGCCACAGCTGGGGAGGATAGCTGCTAAATGCTGCCCTGGCAATGAGTGCAGTGTTTGATTTGAATCTGATTAAAATAGGGATTTTTTTAAATTTTTTTTTTTAAGCTTATCAGTTCAGCATTGTAAATCATGCCCATATTGCATTGTCAGACACAAAGACCAATGTTGGTGTTTTGAGGTGGAAGTGCTTTTAAAATTAATTTTCAAAACCCATGTTACTGACCTATTTATTTTTAAAGGACAATATTTGTACCTTTAGAGTTGAGTTTTCAAGTAAAGAAATTTTGTATTCCTTTAGCATTTAATGCAAGACCTGAAATAGTGATTTTTAAGAACCTACATGCAACGTTTAATTTTTAGCCAGCAGCATCATTACATTGTGGGTTTGAGGGTGTTAGTCTACGAGCAGGTCTGTGAACCTTACAGAATGATTTGGGTTAGAAGGGATCCTTAAAGATCATCCAGTTCCACCCCCCTTTCACTAGCCCAGGTTGCTCCTGCCCCATCCAACCTGGCTTTGAACACTTCAGGAGTGGGACAGCCACAGCTTCTCTGGGGAACCTGTGCCAGTGTCTTGCTACCCTTAGCATAGAAACCCATATTTCTTTTGTCCAATCTAAAAATATTTGCCTCAAGTTTGAAACTGCTGCCCCTTGTTCTGTCACTACAGCACTTGGTAAAAAATCTCTTTGTCAGAAAAACTTTTTTGATCATCCTGACTTAGTCTGATGTGAGGAAGATATGTGCATGTGTTTACAATTCTTTTAGTATAATTTTGTTAAAGGACTGCTATGACAGTCATTCCTAGAAAAACATGGTAAAGCTTCCACAACTTGCTTTCTGCTAATCTGGGAATGTAACGACTTGATCTGGGGTGAAAATGTTATTTCTCCTGACTCGCTCTGCAGTAATCCATAGATGACATTGAAAAAAAATCATATTTTAATCTCTTTAAGGAGCACTGTCCATTGGCTTGGGGAAATATAAACATGTTCGATTACACAGACACTCTGGTATCTGGGAAAATGGCTTTGAATCTTTGGGCAGTACCTCATGGGCTGGAGGATTTGTTGAATCCTATTGGTGTTACTGGATCAAATCCAAATAAGGTATTTGCATGCCAGCTTCCCCCTTAAGAGTGCATTTCCAAAATATGCTTTATTCTGGTTGCTGTCATTCAGCAGAAAAAGTAATTTGAATTCCCTTGACCTAGGAAACTCCATGCTTAGAGCTGGAATTTGATTGGTTTAGCAACCCTGTAAAGTTCCCAGATATGACAGTGATTGAAGAACATGCAAACTGGACAATTTCACGGGAACTGGGATTCAACTACAGCTATGCAGGGCAGGTAAGGCAAACTCCCCCTCCAGGATTAGCTATTCAAATAGGAAAGGATTATTTGCTACTTTATTTTACTCAGTGTATGAGTGACAAAATGTTTTTTTTTTAACATCCTCATTTATTGTAAAATCATAAAATCAAATTTTTGTTGTGTGTTTGGTAAAATGGGCAATATATTCTCCTTTCTTTATATTACCAGTAAAGTGACCTAATGCTTCACTGACCAAGTAAAACACTCCAAAGAGAAACTGGTTTACTGTGTTTTTGACTTTTTTGTATCACTAATTTGGGTGTCAAACTACTTAGTTTAACTTCTTAAAAGTTGCAATTCTCCTTCAATGGCACTCTTTTTCTTTGTTGCAGTTTCATGTTTATAGTTAGGCTTTCCTGTGTAACCCAAAGGTGCTTAGAACTCTTTCCTGTCTGTTTTATGGGGTGGTTATGACCACAAGCAAAGGGAATTTTAAGGGAATTGATGGACATACACATGGGTGTAGTCCTTTATCTCACTTTTTCCACAAACAGAACTTGTGCATTACAATTGGCTTTTTGGTGAGGTTTGGAGCTTTCTTCAAAGCACTTTTTTGGATGATGAAAAGAAGTAAAAACAGAAAAGCAGTCAAGCTAAAAATGCTCTTTATTTAAAGCCAAGGCTGTGAAATTGGTTGGTGTGTTTTACATTTTCTTCTGGAGGCTGGTTCAAAGGCCTGGGTTTGCCCAAGGAGCTCTGTGCTCTGTGTGGAGAGCTCTGTGGTGGGAGTTTGGCTGTGCCAGAGAGCACAGAGGTGGCAGCACTTCCAGAGTGGGAGTTCTGGGGGTGTTTGCAGCAGTCCTGTCCCATGTGTCCTGAACAGGCTGTGGGCATTGGATTTCTCTTGATGCTCAGCAGTGTGTCTATCACAGAGCAGCATCTCTGCTGTTTATGCTGTGACTGAGCAGGGTCTTAATGAATGCTTAAGGACAGTTTTCTTCTTGGTAAATAATATTCCCCAGCCTCTTACCTGGGCCTCTGTACTCCAGCTCATTGTTTTGTTCCATCTGGCACAAAGAAAAAAGGGTGAGGAGGATAAGGTCACTTCACTGACAACATAGCTAATTTCTGCTTGTAGCAATTCTGTTTTCTGTGCTCTTTGGGGAATGTCTTACACTAATTGTGATTTACTGTTTTCCATATTCCTGTTACTCATGCATTCCTACAGCATTCTGCCCCTGAGTTACCTGTTTTCATCCCCCATGTTCTGTTTTTTCAGTTCCAAATCCTTTTCATTCCTTTCAGCAGCCCTCAGCCATCTCAGGCTGGGGTCAGAAATGACCAGTCTCACTTTGTGCTGCATTGTGTCATTCATCAGATGTCAACTGCTGCTATTTCTCCACACAGCTGATTTAGTTGAAATGTGCCTCTCCTTGTGCCAGCAGTGACTAAAAGCAGTTGTGGAGATCAAAGGCCTAGTCTTTCATCTTCTTTCTACATTTTGAGCTCTCAGTTATAACAAGTGGATACAGCAAGATAGTATTGCATGACACAGGCTGGAGTGGTTGCTGTGTGTTCAAATGCTGTATTTCATGTGTGCTTTGGCAATAGAAGGAGTTGTGTGGAGGGCTAAAGTGCCACTGTCTCTGCAGAGTAACAGACTAGCTCGGGATAGTGAATTAACAGAGAGTGACAAGGAGCAACTGCGAGCCATTTGTACCCGAGACCCCTTGTCTGAAATCACTGAGCAAGAGAAGGACTTCCTCTGGAGACACAGGTATTGCAAATCAAAAACCAAACAAAAAAAACCCTCTTGGCATATTCAAACTTCACTCCATTCATTCCAAATTTGTCATGGGTTTTGCTCCCTTTTCTTCTGTGCTGAGGAGCTGGTGTTTTAGACAAGGCTTGTAAAGCATTCTGCATTGTGTGGTTTGGTTATAATCCTGTGGAGAAGAGTAAGTTGTTGAATGAGTTCCCATTTTCCTTATTACTGCAGTTTTACCTGCATGGATGGATCCTGAGAGCACCTTGCTGACAAAGGAAGAAAAAGGTGCAAGACTGTGGGGACATAGTTGATGGTTATGAAAGCAGAAGTGTTGTTTAGTACATGCAACTTTTATTTTTCCTCTTTTGCAGACACTATTGTGTGAATACTCCAGAAATTCTACCCAAATTACTTTTGTCTGTCAAGTGGAATTCTAGAGATGAAGTGGCCCAGGTAACATAAAGCACCGAAGAGCTGTTAGATTTTGAAGCTTTAAAATGCTATTTTAAAGAAAGCTTCTGGAAGTTAAAAGCATATTTTGTGTGTATGATACATTGAACAAATATATGGAATTGCCACTGTGATTGACAGGTGTCTCTGGTCCATAGTTCTTGTTCTTTAGCTCAGTCTGGTCTTAAGATTTCCTCTTGCTGGCATTACTCAAATCCCTCTGATGTTGCCAACTTGTCAATTACAGTTAAATGTGAGGTTTTGTTTTCATTCTTTTTATAGTGGATAAAACAACAAAGTCAACTGGCAACTAATACCAGACTGTTGATTGAGAGGACCAGCAATTAAACAGCTTCTACTCAGATGTAGTTTGTCTGACAATGCCTTCTAATGGCTGTGTGTTCCAGCTTCTCCTGAGCAGTGCAAAGGTGTAAACTGCTTGTTCTCCTTGCCCCCAGATGTACTGCTTGGTGAAGGACTGGCCCTCAATCAAGCCAGAGCAGGCCATGGAGCTGCTGGACTGCAACTACCCAGACCCCATGGTGCGAGCGTTCGCAGTTCGGTGCCTGGAGAAGTCCCTGACTGATGACAAACTGTCTCAGTACCTCATCCAGCTGGTACAGGTACTGAGCAACTATTATTTTGGCATATTTGTTGTCTTGTGTATGTCCAGTGATCACAGAGGCTTAAAACACAGCAAAAGTTAAGTTGTTGTGAAAAAGAGGTCACCGTGTTTGCTTTGCAGATTATTTAGGAGTAGATGAAAGGTTAGTTTTTCTGCAGTGCTGTGGTTTTGCTTGTTGGTACTAAATGCCAGCATTCTGCAGAGATGCAAAACTGTTCCACCAACTGGAACAGGCAGCTATTTCAGCTGTCCTAACATATGGGAAAGGATGAGCAGAAGCATCTTCTCAAAATTTTGAGCAAGTTGAGGCTAAAATATTTGGTAACAGTAAAGCAAGCATCAGATGGTAAGTTCCTGAAATAGAGGCAGCCAGTGAACAGTTGGCATATATTGTTCAAAGCCTAACACATGCAAGTATTAATACCAAGATCAGTCATTCCAGAAGAAAAATGTAAAACATAGATGGCTTTTTATTTAACTGCCTTTAATCTGTATATTGTTCATAGAAATAATAACTGCATCTGATTTTTTAATATTTTTTCTTTATCCTTAACTAGGTTCTGAAATATGAGCAGTATTTGGATAATCAGCTTGTGAGATTTTTGCTGAAGAAGGCACTGACCAATCAAAGGATAGGACACTTCTTCTTTTGGCATTTAAAGTAAGCTTATTGTCCTGTTTAGGGGTGGTGGGCTTCCTATTAGCTGTAAACAATTAGTTGTTCTAAAGGTTTGACATACTAAATGTCCTTTCTTAGAAAAATGTTACCACTTTAAATAAACATTGGGTTATATTGGTTAAAAGTTTGAATATGTAGTTCAGTGACAGAAATCATGCCTTGCAGTTTCAAAGGTGCTTAATAGTACTTGGATTTGTACTTCTTTTTATCTAATCATGTTTATTCTGAAAACAAGGTAGTCTGAGACTGCTGAAAGCCTCCCATATTGTTAGCTGTCTGATGCCCCATCAATTTTTCCAGAAAACTTTACAAATATATGAGACCTAAAGAAAGCCACCCAATTCAACAAGGTAAAACTTTGAAAAGGACAAGTAAAAACTTTATTTTTACTTCCTTATTAAAGGCTTCTTATAGAGCTTGATAGCTCAATCTGCAACATATTGGGTTGTAGCTAGAGGTCACCTAAAAGTTCTGTTCTAAGCTGGTGTAATCAGAGCAGAAATAGAAGCAAGGCATCTTTGCTGTACTCTCACTTTTCTACTTGCCTCGGTGTCATCAAGGATAAGGGAGGGGATTGTTTGAGGGGATGTATTTTAGGACTCTATGAAGGTGTCACAAGTACAGCTTCATTTTTGGCACCTCTAAGTGGTCTTGTCTCTAGGCTGTAACTGTTCTTCCTCCCTGTGTAGGTCTGAAATGCACAACAAGACTGTCAGTCAGAGGTTTGGTTTACTTCTGGAGTCCTACTGTCGAGCGTGTGGAATGTACCTGAAGCACCTGAGCAGGCAGGTGGAGGCCATGGAGAAGTTGATTAACCTCACAGATATTCTCAAGCAGGAAAAAAAGGATGAGACCCAGAAGGTATCAAAAGCTGTCCTTATCTCCAGACTGCTGCTGTTGAGTCACAGGAATTACTTAGAACTGTTCAATTTGATCAATGAGGAAAGTGTTAATGCTAATTTCAGTAGGTGCTGTGTTTCCTGGGGAGCTGCAGTATTTTCTGTGCAATGCCATTGTCTAGCTCTCAAGGCAATAGAACTAAAGTTAAAAATTTCAATTTGTGTAATATGTAACTGAGCTGTACTTACATTAGAACTGTGCAAAACCATGCTTGAAAACCAGAGCTAAAATGTGATACCTTCATTTACATGTAAATAGTGTTCTCAAGACCTGAATGTGCTTATTGATCAGGTACAGATGAAGTTTCTTGTTGAACAAATGAGACGACCAGATTTCATGGATGCCTTGCAAGGTTTTATCTCTCCTCTTAATCCTGCCCATCAACTGGGAAACCTCCGGTATTGTATCCACTTTTGAAGTTTGTCTAGATGCTTCAGTAAATGTTTAGTAATGGTAACAATAACAGTGTTGAGGTTGACTGTTAATTTAGTAAATGTCAGTATTTTCAAAGTGCACTGAATAGAATTTGTAGCAGAGTAATCCATAAAGAGTAGAGTCATTTCAATCTAATGGTGTAACAAACCAGGGAACAACATGACTTCAGTTGTTCCTTAAAGGTGCCAGGAACTTCAGTCCTTTTTCCAGTTGTCAGAGCTCATATTGCCACAGGAATATTTACAATATTCCCTTACAACACAACTCTTCTGTTGGTCTTAGCAAATGGTTAATGTAGCACTTACTAATTTAACTTTGAGTCTGAAAATAAAAATGGTGCATTGTCAGTTATCTTTGCATCTTTAATTTGGTGCTGGTTCAAAGTTTGACCAAAACAGGGAGACCTTAGCAATATTAGAAAAACATGGTATAAGAATCAAATTATGCCTATTTCATAGAAATCTTATCTCTTTTAGGCTTGAGGAGTGCAGGATCATGTCATCTGCAAAAAGGCCGCTGTGGTTGAACTGGGAAAACCCAGATATTATGTCTGAGTTGTTATTTCAGAACAATGAGATAATATTTAAAAATGGAGATGGTAAGGAAAGATAAGTGTAATTCAAAAGCTACATACCTGTTTATTTTCCTAACCTTTTACTTAGTGTTTTTTATAAGTTTATAAAGTACATATAGTAAAAAAAAACATCAGCTGAGCAAAGCTATTTTCTTTTCCAGAAAAGAAGCATGGACAGATGAGTATTTATCTCAGTCAAGTACAAACTTTTTATGTTCTGAGATGCTCAGTCTGTCAAGGTGGAGCACAATACTATTTAATATTTGTTCTTTTTAATTGTAAATTTCTTGAAGATATATAGATGTATAAACTGTGATTCCATTGTCCTGGTTTTAGTGTATGTTTTTAAAATCACTACCATATGTTCATATTCATTTTTTACTATTTGAAACCTACTTTTCTGTACTGAGGGAACAAAATCTGCACAAAACTATGCAAACCTCATTACCTTTAGATGTATTTAGACATAGTTTTGGGGGGAAAAGGAAAGTAGGATCTAACCAAAGATTCTGATGTTACAAAATGTGCAAATTGAATGTATTTGACTATTTCAGACTTGCGTCAGGACATGCTGACACTTCAGATCATTCGAATTATGGAAAACATCTGGCAAAATCAGGGTCTTGATCTTCGGTAAGCATTAGAGTCATTCCCAAGTAAAGCTGATCTTAATGGTTCTGGCATGGTTTGTTCCCAGAGATTGCTTCTGTTTTCCCAAGGGTAATAAATGAAATGCTAGAAATAGACATTTTTGTGCATGTTAGAGCAACATTTAATTTTTTTTTTGTTTAACTAAACTACTGATTTTGTAAACAGATGATCATATTTGAAAAATACTTAGTTTTCATTCAAGTGGGTCTGAGTGAGCTACCTACAAGGAATGGATACAAGAGCCAAGTCACAGTAGCCACACTGTGGCCAAGTGATTGTGTCTGTAGGTTTGGTTTTGAACAAGGTAACAAGGTGCCAAATCCTCAGCCCTGCTGGGCAATGACTCTTTGCAGTTGGTATCTTCACTTCAGTCCACACAGAGACATTGCCCAGTCTGTGTGAGCTTCTCCTCCAGACTGGGGTGCAGCAGCTGCTGCAGGGCACTCAGGATAAACTGTTCTGCTTCTGGAAAACTCTTCCTAGACAGGTTACACCTTCAAATTTGTGTTTGCTGTGTGGTACATTTTTTAGATGGGAACAAAGGGGCTGCCTGTGCACTGTCTAGAAACCCCCAGTTTTCATTTTTTTCTCTAGGCAGAAGGACCTGTTGGTTTATGTTATCTCTCATGGGCCACAGTTTTGTCTCCAGTAGTGTAACAAGTGGCAGAATTAAGCCTTTGTCCAAGAATGGTTTGCAGAATGGTTACAGTTCCCCATGACTTAAAGAGTAGCCAGATAGAGGAATCTGCAGAAATACATCCTCTCCAACCTCTTGCCACCATTCTGTATAAAGGAAGGAAAAAAACCCAACAAAACAATGAACCTTTGTCTTCCAGGATGTTGCCCTATGGTTGTTTGTCAATTGGTGACTGTGTGGGACTCATCGAGGTGGTCAGGAGCTCTCACACCATCATGCAGATCCAGTGTAAAGGAGGCTTAAAAGGAGCACTGCAGTTCAACAGCCATACATTGCACCAGTGGCTCAAGGACAAGAACAAAGGAGACATGTGAGATTCCCTGTCACCTGTTTTTCTTGGCCATATGCTTCTTCTTGATGGAAACTTCAAGATAACTAAAGTTCATCAAGTGGGGGATTATGTCCATAATTATGTCCATCTACTTTTGTTTTCTTTTTTACCTGTCCCTGTTTGCTCTTTTGCAAAAGAAATGCACTTCTGTGTTATTGGAATATCTGAGGAAAGTGTCTCCTTTTTTGTTGGGATAGGTATGATGCAGCTATTGACCTGTTTACACGTTCTTGTGCTGGCTACTGTGTTGCCACCTTTATCCTGGGCATTGGTGATCGCCACAACAGCAACATCATGGTCAAAGATGATGGACAGGTAACAGTTGATTTCTAAAATCATATCCTAAGGTCATCCTCCTCATCCTTTGGTATGAGTTTTCGTTTTGGAAAAAAAATTTCTATTGGAACTATAAGTAAATTATCAATTTTACTGTGACTTCATTTAAACAAGGAATTATTAATCTTAACATACCTGTCTAATCTTAAAATTTCTGTCTTTCCAAGCTGTTTCACATTGACTTTGGGCACTTCCTCGACCACAAGAAGAAAAAATTTGGTTACAAAAGAGAGCGTGTGCCATTTGTCTTAACACAAGACTTCTTAATAGTGATTAGTAAAGGAGCCCAAGAATGTACCAAAACGAGGGAGTTTGAAAGGTGAGCTTTCTTTTATGCATTTAACCTCCAGAGTGTTTTGTACCTAAAATGCACTTTAGTACTGGTGACCTTTTAAAAATTAGACCTTTTAACTGAACAGTAGTATTTTAATTGGTTTGCAGTGGGAATATTCTAGTTCTTCAGTAGAAGATCAGCCATGCACTTGTAAGTCAGTGGGTAATCTTAGCACTTACATGACCTTTGGTCCAGGAAATCTCACTTGAGATTTGCAGGGTCAGCATACATGTGAATAAAGATGGTAATTTTTCAAACATCTGATATTTCTTTGATTTTACATTTAAAATCCTCTTGAGATGGCAGAACTGCAGCTACTGAGAGTTCTTAAATGTTGGGTGTTGTGTGCATCAGAGCCTTGCTGGTCATCCAGCCATACTTCTCTCTCCTATAGCTGCTCTGATAGCAGCTCTTCAGCTGACCTGTGTCGTTTGTGACAATGGCTGAGAACCTGCTGAACAAGAACTTTAAAATAATAGCAGTAAATAAATCTGTTGCTGTAGTCATTCTTAATATCTCTTTCCAACAACCCAGTCTTTAAGAGGTTTCAATTTTAATCTTAATTTCATTATGTTGATGGCAACAGAAGACAGATTTTGAATTAATGTGTCTATCTGAACACTGCAGTGAGGCTCTTCTGCATTTTTTCCCTTAACCTGGGTATTTCTTATCCAGTCTGATAGAGCAAATGTCCCTGTTTTCAGTGCATTCTTCAGAGTACCTAAAGAGGAATATAAAACTACAGGAGAAATGCAACTCTGAAGATAGCCAGGAAAGCACTGATTTTAGCAGTGTGTCAGGAAATACCTTTTGAAATCTGAAATGTCAGTAGCAGTGACAAAAATGGCCCTGTGAACTCACATAAATTCATGTTGACAGTTGTGTGAATTGCAGATGGGGTTTAAGAATAGAAAGCCTGTCTATGGATGTTGTGTTAATCGGACCACTATTAATCCTTACACAAATAAACTAAGTAGGAGAATGAGTAGTAATCTCAGCTACATTATGGTGTTCTTACTAGACTAAGACTGCATTTTTAGTGTCTGGTTACCTGTAAAACTGTTTTGGTGCTGAAGCAGTGATACACATGCAATAGAGAAATGCACTGAGCTTTTTCCCCTGGTCTCTTCCAGGTTTCAGGAGATGTGCTATAAGGCTTACCTGGCAATTCGGCAGCATGCCAATCTCTTCATCAATCTTTTCTCCATGATGCTTGGCTCAGGAATGCCAGAACTGCAGTCCTTTGATGATATTGCATACATTAGAAAGACCCTTGCATTGGACAAAACTGAGCAGGAGGCTCTTGAGTACTTCATGAAGCAGATGAATGATGCTCACCATGGTGGCTGGACAACAAAAATGGACTGGATCTTCCACACAATAAAGCAACACGCTTTGAACTGAACTGACAGCAAAGAAAACAAGAACTGATACCCAGCTCTGTGGGTACTGCACTGTTAATACCCGTTAGCAGCAAAGACTGGTTGCATAGGAATTGCACAAACCATGAACAACATTAGAACTTATGGCGAGAAAAGAGATGAATTGTTCAGACAACTGTTGGAAAATGATGTAAAACAGGGTTTCAGATAGCACTAAAATTATAAACTTCTAAAATTAAGCTTTAGTACGATGTGTGCAGGGACCTTGACAAATTAGAGAGATGGGCAGTCACCAAGTGTGTGAAGTTTAACAAGGGCAAGTGCCAGATTCTGCACCTGCAATGGGGCAAGCCTGGTTGTGTGTATGGACTGGGGAATGAGGCTGGACAGCAGCTGTGGAAAGGGACCTGAGGGTCCTGGTCCATGGCAAGTTGAACATGAGCCAGCAGTGCCCTGCAGCCAGGAGAGCCACCTGTGTGCTGGGGACATCAGGCACAGCATGGCCACTGGGCAAGGGAGGGCATTGGCCCACTCTGCTCTGCACTGGGGCAGCCTCACCTTGAATATTGTGGGCAGTTTTGGGTGCCACAGTCTAAATAAAATTAAGCTATTAGAGAGTGTCCAAAGGAGGGCCACAAGGATGGTGAGGGGTCTGGAGGGGAATGGGCTGTATGGGGAGCAGCTGAGGTCACTTGGTCTGTTCAGCCTGGAGAAGAGGAGACTGAGCTCAGATCTCATCAGGCTCTGCACCTTCCTCACGAGGGGAAGTGGAGGGGCAGGTACCAATCTCCTCTCTCTGGTGACCAGTGACAGGAATTGAGGAAATGGCATGGAGTTGAGTCAGGGGAGGTTTAGGTTGGATATTACAAAAAGGTTTTTCACCCAGAGGGTGGTTGGGCACTGAACAGGCTCCCAGGGAAGTGGTCACAGCCCCAAGCCTGACAGAGTTCAAGGAGTGCTTGGACAAGGCTCTCAGGCCCAGGGTGAGATTCCTGGGGTGTCTGTGCAGGGCCAGGAGCTGGACTCTGATCCATGTGGGTCCCAGCACATTCTGTGATTCGATGATTCATGTTATGCCTTAAGCTCAAAAAGGTAAACTTGGAAGAATGTTTCCTTTTTTCATTTGATAGGATAAATTAGAAGGAAAAAGAAAATAGTGCTAGTGTAAGAGTCCATCACATCTTACCTTAGATCTGGTACAGTAGGTGGAGACTATGCTGGATTGTGAAGAACAGAAAGAGAATTCAAGTGATAGCAAATACTTAAATGCAGCATAGTTTAAAGGAAAGATCTAAAAACGTTAGTGAGAGGACAGTGCCTTTTAAATGTGCTCGGAGGCATTAACATTTGTGGGGTTTGGGTGGCCCTTGAATTTCTGGGTCCGTCATCTGCACAGTTTCTGAAGGCAGTAGGAAATAGGCCCACTCAGTATGGTGTTTCTTCTGCTCAGTATTGCTAGGGGTGCAATTCATACTTTCACAAAGAAACTCCCTATCATCCCCAAAAACTGACTAACCTGGAAATTGAATGGTCAGAATTGGGTTTAGTGCAACAGAGAGCTGTAGTGTTCATCTTAGGTTTGCTTTAATCTAACTTGAACTGAATAGATTTTTTTCATACATGTTTTCCAGAACCTAAAGAAAGGTGAGTTATTAAAATTATTGAAAGATTATTTTTTTATAAAGGCTATTTATATAATAGGAACTATTATTAATATATATTCTTTATTTACATGATTTGTCCAATATTAACTCTCTTAATTTTGCAACCCAGTTCTATCTGTCCAAGACTCCCGTTTTCATTAACGTCACTGAAGGTGACCAGACGTACTCCTAGGACCAAATTCAGCCCTAGTGAAAGAGGACACAAGTACCAGTGAAGTAGTGGGAATATACCCACTAAAGCCAAAGGGGAACTTGGCCTAAGTCTCTAAAAATATTTTGGGAATCACTCTTCACATTACTGAAGCGATATGCTGGCTATTTCAAGAACGCTCATTTAAACCCTCAAAATTTGGGTCTACCATTTCTCCTCTTTCTTCCTCCTTTGGAAGTGGTTGTTGAATCCAGTAAGATACATCAGAAATAGCAATTTAGATTTTCAATATGATCAATAATTAGCAGTTCAGCAGACAGATATGTTGGCTAGCTCAAAGCATGTGGAGTTACCAAACATTTTATAGCTTTGTCTGTTTTGTGCGTGTGTGTAATATATATTTGTAAATCTAGTTGTTGTCCTTTAACACAATTACAATGTGTGCAATCAATGAAATTGGCACCATGTTTTGAAACTGTTCAGAGTACCGAGGATTTCAGATTGCCCTTATGCACAACTTCAGGTAGGACTGTTTCTCTAATTGCTAAACAGGTTTCTTTTTAAAGTTAGCAAAGCCCATAATAGTTCTGTGGGTGATGTTCACCCTGACATTTTAAACTTGCAAGATTGGCAGCACTTGAATTCCAAAGGTTTGGGGCTTTTGGGGGTTCAGCTTGTTCACTGCAAACACGCACCGAGGTGCCACTCAGAAAGTGCAATACCATGTGTAATATAAAATATGCTGGCAGTTGATGTTAGACTAGAATATAAGCATATAAATAAACTGTACTTCGTGCAGGCTGTACTGATGAGGTAATGAGTGGTTGGCTTCATTTAGCAAATTGTAATATATTAAAAATGTGCAATCAATTACGATATGAAAGACTTTGGGGATTGTAAAGCCAAGGCTTTGGTGTTGCAAGACACTTTCAAAGTCAGCATCCTGCAGCTGATTACTGCATGCATGGATACTTGATGTTGTGGGGGAAAACCTGGTTTTGTGAAAACTGCAGAAGCTCTGAGAATAGTAGGGGAAATGTGAAGTTTTATTTCCTTAGTTCTACGAAATATTTTGGAGTAGTCCAATAGAATTCCCATTGCTCTTTTTATTGACTGTTACATATTACTTTTTGTTCATATGAATATTTTAACTCCTGCTAAGCTTGGCTGTACTTTCCTAGAGCAAAGTTACCCTTGTATCTATTATTTTGCAGTCCACACACAATAATGGTTTAGCTCTTAAAATGGGTTAGTTTCAGTTTAACTTTAGTTCACAAAATCTGAAACCCTGTTGGCTATAATTCTTAATTTAACAGAGTAAAAGCGTTGCACAGACATCACATTAGGTGCTATATTTGTATTTATCTGGTGTTGAAACAATGCTTTACCTCGTTTATGCAAGAAATGGTCAGCCTTTTCCAGCCTGGGTGAAAAGATCAACTCCAATTTATTGGATGTTATGAGGCCAAATTTGTTTGTACTTTGCCCCTTCCTAGCCCTTCTGTAAATATGAGTATAAATGTCTTTCAGTTCAAGCACTGTATTCTGCACCCTTTTTGCCTAGACAGAGGTATGAGGAGTCAGGCTCTGTCTCCAGAATTTACTGCAATTAAGTGTTGTGCATAAGCTGTGGAATTTATTATGAGAATCAAATAGTAAAAGAAAGGAAACCTCAGAGTGGTACAGACATAATACAGTTGGGGGTAACTGTAGCCTTTCAACCAACTTTAAAAAGTAGGAGAAGCTCCTGAGCTTTACCCATTTCTTTGCATCACCAAGATGGGCATTTGAAAAGCATTCTGCCAGTGTTTCACAGAAAACAACAATCCTTTTCTCAGCTTCAAAGTGTTGAACCCTAATTGCTGTATCCTGCCACAGCAGTTCCTGCTGATGTAACTTCACTGAGGATAGAGGAGGCTCTGTTTGCTTACCCTGGAGGAAATGAGAGGATGTAATCTGCTCCCAGTATCAGGAAGAAGACCTGCTTACACACCATGAAAGCACTTGTAACTGAGTCCTAGATTTTTACAGAAATGGCTTGGAATTGGCTTATTTTTAACTATTCCCACTTCATGGAGATTTGAAAATGCTCCCTTTGTTCTGGGACTCAGAATACTAAAGTAGATTATTTTGGGCTTGAAATGAATCTGGGCACCTTGCTCCTGCAGCACTTCTTGTAAGACTGCCAGAGCAAGGAGCCCAGGACTGGGCCATGTGTTTTATCACAAAGCATTAGCAAATGGTGTTTTAGTGGAATAAAATTTAAATCAGTCACCTTTTCAGCTGTGAAATTCTGTTTGATGTAATGACAGAACAGGGTGCTGCATATTAGTTTTACTTAGCATTAAATTCATTGCTTTCCTAAACATAGCAGAAGTACCTGTACTGATTTTATATATGCATACTTCTTTGTCTGAAAGGGTGCATTAGTAGTTTTTTCATAGTTGAAACAGACTTCCAGTATAATTTGAATTTTTTTAAAAAAGGCTTTTAAATAAAACCAAAATTGTAGGTGATTTGGCATCTTGTGGAAAAGATGTGAGCCTGCATATTGAGGACAATATAGAAATTACCAGGTTTATAAGAACTTTGTATGTGATGACCCTGCTATCGATGGTTTGGCGAGTTGTTTGTGGGTTTTTATGCCAACTTTCCTTTTTCTGTAAAGTATTAAATGCCCTTTAGTGGTCAGTAGCCCATGTTTGTTGACAGTTTGAAGGTATTGTCTTTGCTTTGTCATTATATAACTGGCATGTTCAAATGTCTGTTCTTAATAGTAATTATGAATTCCTCCTGTTTTGCATGTCTGTACAGGTTGCAGACCTGGGCTGGACCCACTCAAAAAACAAATATCAGAAAAGCCACTTGAAATTACTATTTTTGTTGATGTCTTTGACATCTTGAAAATACTTCAAGTTAATGAAAATGGTGTGGTATTACAGAAAGAATTGTAACTTGCTGCTTCTAGGATTTTTTTTAACTTCTTTCACTTGTTCTAGTTTTACTTGAATGGAAGAACCACACTCATGTTTTTAAAAACACTATATAGCTGTGGATGTTGTTGCAGATTGTTGAATCCCAATTTAATTTTGCAATACATGTTTCATACAAATAATGAATTTGCATCTTTTTATTTTGTGCTGGAAGTTATCTCAGTTTAGGTAAGGCTCTGTCTGTCCAAAATGATGTGTAGCTCACCACCCCTGCAGCTGATATTGGTTTGGGGTTCTTCTTTGTTTAGTTTTACTCTTTTTTTACATCTGTGTTAATGAAGGGAAGCCAACTGGAAACTGGCTATAGGAGTTCTCTATCTGCATACTCTAACCAAACCCATAGGTGCTCTTCTCTTTGAGGAATTCTGATTTCACTTTATGCTGATACAACACTCATTTCATCAGAATTGCTCTGGATTCACAACAGCACATGAAATCAGAATTAGGCTGTATGTGTATCAGAGTTGCAGATTATTTATTCCTAGGATTCAGTATGAAAGGTTCTCATAAGGAGAGGAATGTTTGGTAGCAGCCCAGTTAAACACTTACTTTGAAATAGTCTTTATCAACAAAATAGCCTTTTCAGCTCTCCAAAAGTACAGTGATCTTGTCTACAGTTTGTTTCATTCTTGACACTTCAGTATTTTTGTTCTTTGCTGGCTTAAATGTTTCCTCTAACTACTCTTTTGTAGCATACAGACTTGTTGAACCCACACTCAGGAAAAAGCTCTGTTCTTCATTTGCCATACAGTGTTCTGGACATCTGAGCTTTATGGGCCAGACTCTGCAAAGTCTGAGGTCTTGCTGTGTTGGTGCTCCTGACTCAAAGCCAGAGGTGAATCCCTCTGTCCCTTCTCTTGTCTCTCCAACACCCCTCTGGGACATGCCCAGAGCATAAGAACATCATAAAATATTTGTAAGAGAAGATCAACTGAAGCAATGTTCTGCCTGTCCTTTGAAGTTAGTGTCCCCACTGGTTTGTGTCCGTGTGTTTTAAGTGTCCTTACTGTCACTTCTGTGTGTGATGCAATATTCCTGCAGCAGAAGGAAGGCAAAAAATATACTCTTCTGTCCTGATCTTGAAATTCTGGTGCCTGATTCCCAGTAGTTATTATACTGTTTCAGAGGCCATTCAGTTCAGTGTAACTGCATTAATTTTGTTGGGCTCCTGTTCCAGTCATAAAATTAATCACAACTAAACCTGACTTAATTGTATTGCTGAAGTTACTGAAAGCCTAATTCAGGCACAAGCTGTTTTTTCAAGAATCTTTATGTCTGTTGTAGTTTAGTTAATTGTTGTGAGCCAAAATATGGATATTCATAGTTGGAATCTCATTCTGCCTTGTTTCTTTAACTATTTTTAATATATTTTCAGGCTTTATTAATAATGTTCTATATCCTGATTTATCAACTGCTCCAGGCTGTCCAGAATTGTCTTACTGTTTCACTTGGGGCTGGGGAAAGAAAAGGAATAGATTAATCTTCTTGTCTTATAGCAGCTGCGGTCCAAATTCTTCATTTCTCATGTGAAGATAAATGTGCAATTCATGATCTGGGAGTGTCATCCTTTCTCTTTGCACCTCTTAAAAGTTTTAACTGTGAATATCCACTACACTATTAAAATCTACTTCCCTGGTGGAGAAAAGGGCTTTAAATATATATGGTTGCAGTCTGAAGTCCTGGATTCTTGGGTTTGAAATTTTGTAAGTATTGTTCTCATTGTAAATGGCAACACAACTGCAGAATTTTCTCAGAACCATTGAGGTTGGTTTGGAGTTCATTTAGGCCAGACACCCTGTTCAGAGCAGGGTCTGCAATAGAACAGGATGCCCAGGACATTGCCTAGCTGGGTTTAGAGTCTGTCTGAGAAAGAGGAACCCACAGTCATTTTTTTATCTTCTATTTCATTGCCTGTTGTCCTTTCAGTGGGCACTGAGAAAAGCCTTGCCTGTCTTTATTCCTCCCTATCAAGTCTTTATGCACATTGACCAGGTGCCCCTGGGCTTTCTCTTGGACCAGGACCCCTCTCAGCCTCCTCTCCTGTCCCTGCCCTCCATGGACCCGTTCCAGCACACCAGATCAGGTTTGTACTGGGAGCCCCAGTGCTGAGCAGGGCCAGGGGGAAGGCTCCCCTCCCCTGAGCTGCTCCTCCTGAGCCTGCCCAGCATCCTGTTGCCATTTTGGGTAAAAGCAGAGCCCAGGAGGGTGTCAGCTCTCCATGCTTCTGTGTAACTTCACTGAAGCTGGGAGCAGTTACCTGTCTGCATCAAAGGCAAAGTAAAAACCCCCACCAGTGCTTCAATTACCTTTTAAAAATGAGACTATTACCTTTGAAATAACCACTACTGGGGCAGGGGGGGACGTTGCCATATGTGTGTCATTCTGTGATAAAGGTCTGTGGTAAAGTAGGTAGAAAGCAAGACATTTTTAGTAATAATGGGCCAAAAAGTATTTAAGATGCAGCAAGATGCATGTGTTGTCATACTGAGAATAGTCTTGCAGTACTTTAAATAAACACAACTCCTTTTTTAACCCTTCTGCTGTGCTACTCAAGTAACAAAAGTTTGGCCTATGATACTTATTGTAGTTCATGTTCATGGGAAACTGTAAAAAGTCTGCTTTTTATTTATCTTCGCGGTCTGTATCATGCTGTTTATTAAAAAAACTACTTTTGTTTGGTTTTTATCACACTTTTGAGTGTTAATGTATATACTAACAACTAAATTAAAATGATATGGTTGGTACACCTGTGAATTCTGAAACGAGAATTTAAGGAATATTCAGTGTTGGTGTGTGATTTGGTGTTGCTCTACCTTTGAAAAAGGCTAGAAGAAAGGAAATGGAAATTGCATACCTCAGTTAATCTGGGGGAACAGAAATAGAATTTACATTATTTAGGGGTGGAAAGTCCAATATGTGTGTGGCATTTGTTCTTGTAAATGCTGATCCTCAAAATAAGTAATTTTATTTTAGTTTTAGACGTGGGCTGTAAAAAGCTGTGACAAGAAAGATGATGTTATTGAAGTGTTTCAGCTTCATGGTTTACAGTCCCTGCTAAATCAATCTGGTTTTGAAAAATATGCTTCATGCTTTCATTACCAAAATTATAATTTAAAAAACTAAACAAACAAGGTTATATTTTTGTATCCAATACTAATTTTGAAAGAGTGACAAACATTTGGGGAAATTACTCACACTGGCAGAATAATAGCATGAGGCTGCAAAGGAACTCCTCCTGTAGCCATGTTGGCCTACTTTGGACTGGAGTTGCTAACAAACTGGGAAGGATTTGAGTTCTCTTGTGAGGATTTCACTTTTTTCTTTTTGGAGAGATGAGGCAAGTGTCAGGGTTTTTAATCAGGCCCCTTCAAAACATTTTTGTCCCCAGTCAGCTCTAAACTTTGTACACTGGTCAGTTCTGTTTCAGGTCACACTGCCCAGCTTTGAGAAGGGCTGTGCTCCAGCAGGTGCTCAGTCTGTGCAGGACCAACCCTGTAATAAAAGATGGACATCATCATCCTTATATTTATTCTGAAGCTTCAGAAGAGCTCTGGTCTGAAAAGTATGGCTGGGGCTTTGGAACAAGCTACTTCAATAACCTGAACTAACAGGTTAAACTTGTGTTTATTATACATAAGGTGAGTTTTACCTTTGCCTAATAACTATGAAATGGTTGTGAGTGGCTACAGCTGTGTGTTAGTTGCACAGGATAGTTCAGGATAAGAGGATCATCAGCTCTTGTTCAAATACAGATTTTAGACTTCACTGCCATTTAGGGCCAGGGTGTGATTTTTGTGGTAGGTCTAAGTCTAAACATGAAAAAATCACAGAAAATTTGCAAAATAATGCTGGTAAAACAAAGATTTGCAAAATAATGCTGGTAAAACAAGAAAGATTTGCAATGGGATCAGTGTGGGTATCTCAGTAAGGCCTCCTGATTTTATGCCCAGAAATCAGTCTGTTTGCCAACCTGCCTTGGAAAGACTCAATCTAAAGTCTGAACCCATGCAACAAAAGAGCAAAGAACCTGATGCTAGACAAGATATGTCAAGTAACCTCCTACATGTCCTTTTAAACACCAACAAACCTACCTGCAGTGAAAGCTATCCTCATGAGCTATGCTAACTGCTGTCATTGAAGAAAGAGCTTACTCCATGGTTGTTTTGGTCAGGATACATCCCCACTAATTGAAATGAGCATCATCTATGTTGTCCATTTAAACAAAAATGTCAATGTCACACAGGCTTTTCTGTATTTTCAGTTCTGACTGATTAAAACCTCACCCAGAGCTCTTCCAACATCCCAAGCACGTGGTGGTTTAAAGAACAAGACTCATTTAGGCTGTTCTGTCCAAAGCATTGATAGCTCTGTTTGATGCGTGTGACTTTGAACTGGATCTGCAGCTTCAAAGGGGATCCTCCTCAGATGTTCTTCTTTCACTTAAAGCCTTGTCTTTTTATCTGACATAAGTGGTGTTGGGCTGTGCCGCTTTGGGTGGAGAATAAATCAGTCAGAAGGTACAGAGGATGCTTTGGTCCGCCCGCGTTTGCCTCACAAGCAGGACTGAATTCAAAGCAAAGGCTCGGGTTTAGGTCGGTTTTTTTTTTTCCTCTCTCTTTGCCATATGTGGATTTTTAGGTTCTCATCACTGCCCTCCGCTGGGATCTGGGGAAAGTGCTTTCCTGGAACGCTTGTAGGGAAAACATTTTGGTGAATAGAGGGAGAGCTACGTGAGCATCCGCCCATTTGGGAGGCTGTAGCTGATTTATGAGACCTTTAACACAAGCTGTCCTGGAGAAACCTCAGCAACCACGGCTGGAATAAAAAGCTGAGAACAAACTGAACTGGGAGACCAGAATCTTGTTGGATTGGTAACTCAGTGCAGGAGATTGTAGGCATACAAAATTTATTTTGTGTCTCAGGGCTCAGCAGTGTGCCAGCAGCAGGACACCTTTAGTTCTGTTTTGCTGCTCACCACCAAAACTCCTGTGTGATCATAGCATAAAGCTCTTTCAATCTGGCTCTAAGAAAGTCACTTTAGCCTAAAGGGATGTTCCCAGCCTCAGGACAAAGGCTAAAGGTAGGATTTTATAGAGAGAGTAAGTCCAGTTTCATCTGCCAGATAATGAATAAAACTAATGCCAGAAACAGGGTATAGTTTCCTTTTTTACCAGTCAGTGGAGCAACTGGTAATAAAAACTGGTAAAAAAACAATAACCCATTAGGGTTATTGTGAATTGTCTGCTAATTCAAAACTTTTTTGTAGAACTAGATAAATTGAGGCTAAGCCAGAGCAAAACAAGCATTTCATACATATTGAATGAAACAATTGGGCAAAATTCCATACGTTATTTTTAAGTCATGGAAATAAGGGACTGTAGCAGCCTCCCTCATGTCTTCAAATTTAATGAGGTATTTTTAAAAAAGGTAAGATGCTGTTTGAAGTGTTCTGCGTCGTGAACCAATACAATTTGGTGCTTTTTCCTGTGGCATGATTTAAAGTGAAGATTAAATCAGCAAAAAGGGCCGTGATTATAAATTTGGAAAAGGGAGAGTTGATTATTTTAACTTTCAAATCCTTATTTATACATATTTCACAGAATCGTGGAATTGTTAGTTTTTGAAGGGACCTCTGGAGATCATCCAGTCCAAGGCACAGTCACCTGGAGCAGGTAATACAGGAACACATCCAGGTGAGTTTGGAACGTGTCCAGAGAGGGAGAATCCACAACCTCCCTGGGCAGCTGTTCCAGTGCTCTGCCATCCTCAGTGTGAAGAAGTTTTTCCTCGTGTTGAGGGGAAACTCCTTGTGTTTTAGTTTATGGCCACTGCTCCTCATCCTGTTGCTTGCAGCCACCAAGAAGAGTCTGGCACCATCTTCTGGCCCCTGCCTTTGAAATATTTCTGTGCATTGATGAGATCCCCTGTCAGAGGTCTCTCCTCCAGACTAACAGGCCCCAGTCCTGCAGTCTGTCCTCACAAGAGATGCTCCAGACCCCTCCTCACTTTGTGCCTCCACTGGACCCTCTCCAATAACTCCTTATCTTTCTGTGTGTATATATTTCTTTCTTGTACTGTATATATTTATGATACACTTTATATTGATTGTCCTATACGGTAGCTCTAAGGGACAGCTTCTACATTGATACAAAAAGTAAAGTTGAGCTTTACCAGGTTCTGGCTTTGACATCACCCTCTCATTTGTGTAAAATCACAGTGCAGACACTGTTCTGAAGCAGGCTTACACACTGCCAGCCCTGGCTGAGGCCTGTGGATGGAAAGGCGGCTGTACAGACGGTGTCGGGTACGAACACCAGCTAAAGGTTTATTTAGGCCGCTCGCCGTCGCTATAGGGGTACAAATACCAGCTAAAGGTTTATTTAGGCCGCTCGCCGTCGCTATAGGGGTACAAATACCAGCTAAAGGCTTATTTAGGCCGCTCGCTGTCGCTATAGGGGTACAAATACCAGCTAAAGGCTTATTTAGGCCGCTCGCCGTCGCTATAGGGGTACAAATACCAGCTAAAGGCTTATTTAGGCCGCTCGCTGTCGCTATGGCGACGGGCGGGTGCGGGGCCGGCCGTGGCCGGCAGGGGGCGCTGCAGGCGGCGGCCGCTCGCCCCTTTCCCGCCCCTTGCCCGCGGAGCGGCCGGGCCGGGCCGGGCCCGCGCGGAGCGGAGCGGTGCGCGCGGAGCGGCCACGCCGGGCCCCGGAGGAGCGGAGCGGAGCGGCTCTGGCGGCCGGCAGGTGAGTCCCGGCGGCAGCGCCCGGGGAGCCGCTGGGCGGGAGCCGCCCGTGCCCCGGCCCCGCCGGGGAGGTGAGCTGTGATTCACGGCCTGGCCCGCGGCTCTCCCGGTGCGGCCCCGGGCCGGGCCCTCTCCCGCCGGCCCTGCGGGGTTGCGGCCTCGCCCGTGCCCGCGGCTCCGCGGCTGCCGCCGGGGCGGAGCGGCGCCTTTACCGCGCTCCCGCCAGGGCTCCCCGTGCGGCCTCCGCGCAGGCCGCGGGGCCGATCGGGATCCCGGTGCTCGGGGCCTGGATCCCGCTTTTCCGGGCCGGGAAAGCCGCTGGAATAGAACAGCCCGCCTTGCTGCCCCGCGGTGCGATCGCTGCAGGAAAGGTTGAGCTTTTCACGCGCCTTACCTGGGGTGGGACTTGCGGTGTCACCGCGCTGTCGGTTCTTCCCTTGCAATCACAGAAAACGGTGAGGGTACTGATGCTTCTAGATCGTGATATAACGTTAAAATCAATTATTTTTTTCCATATTTTGACCAAAAAAAATAGTTCAGAAAATATTTAATGTCAGAAGAACACCTCTGAGTTGATCAGGGCCCTTTTTTCCCTCCTTTCCCCTCCGCTGCATGGCACTGACTATGGAAGATCCTGGGCCCCCAAGCGCTCTTCAGTCATGGCAACCCGCATCACATTCCTTGTTTGCAGCCTTTTCTTCTTCAAGACTGTTTGTCCTGTATATAGGTCAACTATTTGTGTTTCGTTTCCAAATGTTTTTCTACTCTCAGGAGCTGCCAAGTGCAGCGAAAGCCAACTAGCCTGAGACAAAAGAAAAACAAATACACCAGTGCATCCACCTCACTCATTTTGATGCTCTAAACTGAAATTAATATCAACTTTTTATGTTGCTTTCTATCTTCAATTTCCATAGATTCATTCTTTGTAGTATTTGTATCACTTGTATCTGATTCTGTGTTTTTTCTATTTGGTGCTAAAGTTTTAAGTGGTTTAAAATGCTGTCACTCCATAGGTGAAAGTCTTCTTGAGCTGATGTTTTCACTACATTTGGAAGCTGTACAGTCAGTACAGTCTTAGCTGCTCTGCTTCCTGATACTGAAGAGTCTGGGATTTTTGGTAAGAGCATGACTGTGTTGGTATTTTAAACACTAAAACTCGTTTGTGAAGGGCTGTGCCTCAGTGTCCTGTCTCTGACAAAAAGGATGCTGGAGAGAAGGCTTGTAGATGACCCTGAGTGCTGGAATACCTGGAGTTCTGACTTGTCTGTCTTTAGGTGAACCTTTTGCTCCAGGGCAGGAATGTGAAACTGGACTTCAGCAGCTGTGTGTATTTAGTGGGTTCTTAACTGTATCAAAATGGCCTGGGGGACAAGAAGGGGGAGTTGGAAAAAACTTTTGATATGCAGGTTTTCAAAATGCTTGTATTGTTCCATAAGGTTCTGAAAGATAAACTAGATACAAACAAGTCTAATTCTTTAATGTTTTTACTTTACAGTTCATGTAGACTGTTCAAAATGAATGAACATCCTAAAAAGAGAAAAAGGAAGACTCTGCATCCTTCTCGTTACTCAGGTTAGTCTGGAGCTTGAGTTAGGTACACTTTAGTAAGTTAATATTTTTTCTCAGAATAATAACTTTACAAGAAGTGACCACTTTTGCTAACACGTGGAAAAGCAGCGACACAAAGGGTGGGATGAGAAATCTTGGCTTGAATGGGCAGCACCCACTCTGCAGGCTCCTTTGTTGGGCCACCTTGAGCCAATGCACCTGAGTGGTTTGTTCTGTGCTCCTGCACATGGGGGAACTGGCTTTAGCTGCAAATGAAGGTGATTCTGCTTCCACAGAGGGCAGGAATTCTGTAAAAGTTGGGGTGGGGTGGGTAGAGAGGAAAGTCCAGCACTGAACAGACCACACACTTGTCAATGTCCTCAGTGGGAGCAGAAACTCCAGACATCAGGGCGATAGCTGGAAGGTGTAAATCACAACAGGAATTCTTCCAAAACAAGTAAAAATGTGAAAAAGAATTTTGATGAACATGAAATACATTTGTAGCTACAAGACATGAGTGCTTAAAAGTTTTTGTTGATGTTTTGGTTTAGATTCTTCAGGTGCAAGCAGATACATAGACAACAGTGGGATTTTTTCTGACCACTGCTATAGTGTCTGTTCCATGAGACAGCCAGATATAAACAGAGGTAAGATTAAGTTTTGGGGTCTTGTTCTGCAGTTCTTTAATGTAACATGTTCCTATTCACAGAAGCAAATAGAATACACAGTATATAGCGGGTGTACATAGCAGGTGATTTCCATGTCCTTGTGATCTGATGGGCTTTAGACTGGTGAGAGGTTGTTCAGTTGTTACAGCTGAAATACAGTTTTCAAAATAGAAACAATGACAACAAAAGACCCTTCAATTTTACATTTATAATGGTGATTAAACTACTTCCAATACTCACTACCTAGGTAACAAAGTTGGTGAGTTCAGATGGAAATTACCAACAGTTGCATTGAATTGTGCTTGTACCTGGCAAAACAAAATGCCTTTTTATAAAACATCCAATAGTGGGTGGAAACTTAGCAGAGTAAATGTGATGGTGGATTTTTAGTCTATTCATTTATCTTTTCACTTTGATAATTAACCATAAAGTCTGCAGAAGTTTTAGAAAGTATCATATTTAAAATGCAATGTCCAGAAATATTGAAGAATATTTTTTAAGTTGAGTCTTTTAGATGTAATGTTTCATTTAAGGATTTCAAGTTTTTTTCTGTATAATCAGCTGAGTATTTTCAGTAGTAAATTCAGTATTTTCTGCTGAAATCTTCTGGACAGATTTGTTACTTTTTGAATTCTTTTGTTTTTCTCTGCACGTATGGAAATAATTTTCAAGGTATTTGCTGTCAATTTTTTAAAATGTAGGCTATGATGTGCTTAGTATATAAAGATAAATTTATGCAAGTAGAATAAATAAATAGTAAGGAAGATCTATGACTAAATGCAGGAATCAGGATGATGCTGGTGTGGAGAAATGATGACAAGGATGATGATGATGATGAAGGCTTGCCTTGCCTTTGCAGGTAGATTCCACAGTCCTGTGCAGAGCCTGGACACGGATGATGACGGGAGCCCGGTGCACGCCGGGAGCTCTCACTGGAGCGGGGCACACTCAAACGCTGCCATGCACTGCACAGACCCTAAAAAGAAGGATAAAGGTAAAGGTCAGTGTGTTTGCAGATGAGGGGCTGGGAGGTTGGAGAGCCCAGCTGCTCCTGGCTGTTTGTGTAACTTCCTTGCTTTGATAGAAATGGTGAGAGATTTATAGTTTCTGGTTAGCTGATAGAGTTTCTTTGTTAGCTGATAATACATGATAAGCTGGCAGGGGAGAAATAACTGGTCTTTGCATTTGAAAGCTGCTGCAGCTGACTGAAAAGTTAAAAATGGGCCTAGGTGTTTTGCAGCGGGTTTACTTCAACCTTCTATTACGTATTTCCTCCTGCAGATAAAGGTACTAACAATGGAATGTGCAGAGACTTATGTGACTCACCTATATTCAGTGACAGCCCCACAGAAGAAGAGAAACCTCTAGATATCCAAACTGTAGAAATTTCTACAACAGAAGTGAATGCTGTAGAAGTTCACGATATAGAAACACAGACTGTGTCACCTGAGAAGCTGGAAGCTGAGGACCTTGAGGAAATCCCTCTGGAGACCTGTAAAATCTTTGAGAAGAACCAGGCTTTGAATATCACAGCTCAACAGAAATGGCCCTTGCTGAGAGCCAACAGCAGCGGCCTGTACAAATGTGAGCTCTGTGAGTTCAACAGCAAGTACTTCTCTGATCTGAAGCAGCACATGATCCTGAAGCATAAGACATGTACAGACACTCACATCTGTAAAGTCTGTAAGGAAAGTTTCTCCAGCAAAGTGCAGCTCATTGAGCACGTAAAACTCCACGAGGAAGATCCGTACATCTGTAAATACTGCGATTACAAAACGGTGATTTTTGAGAACCTGAGTCAGCACATAGCAGACACTCACTTCAACGACCACCTGTACTGGTGTGAGCAGTGTGATGTGCAGTTCTCCTCCAGCAGCGAGCTGTACCTGCACTTCCAGGAGCACAGCTGTGACGAGCAGTACCTGTGCCAGTTCTGTGAGCACGAGACCAACGACCCCGAGGACCTGCACAGCCACGTGGTGAACGAGCACGCGTGCCGGCTCATCGAGCTGAGCGACAGCTACCACAGCAAGGAGCGGGGCCAGTACAGCCTCATCAATAAAATCACTTTTGACAAATGCAAAAACTTCTTCGTGTGCCAGGTGTGCGGCTTTAGGAGCAGGCTGCACACCAATGTCAACAGGCACGTAGCTATTGAGCACACCAAAATATTCCCTCATGTTTGTGATGACTGTGGGAAGGGGTTTTCAGGTATGTTGGAATATTGCAAGCACCTAAGCTCTCATTTATCTGAAGGGATTTATTTGTGTCAGTACTGTGAATATTCAACAGGACAAATTGAAGACCTTAAAACTCATTTGGATTTCAGGCATTCAGCAGATTTGCCTCATAAATGTACTGATTGTTTAATGAGGTTTGGGAATGAAAAAGATCTGTTAAGTCATCTTCAGATACATGAGACGGTGTGATTGCTTTCTTTCCCTGTAATCAGTTTGTTTAGAATTTGAATCAATTTCCAGTCACTGGAATGTGATATTAAATACAATTTTAACAGCAACTGTACATTTCTAATGTTTTCATCTTTATATCAGCAAAGCATGTCTAGCACTTGGTGTTGTGAATTTCCTTGTCTAGGGGTTTCAGTAGGAATAATCACATTTACACCGTGGTGGATCAGATTTTGGGGGGAGGGACAGGGGGAGTAATTGCATGTTGTGATACCAGTTCTCCTGGTCATCCTGCTCTTTCATGTCTAGTGTACAGGACCAGCTCTCTTGAGTTTAAAAAGGCACAAAAACAAAGCAAATATCTAATTCTATGCTTTAATAACCCAATACTGGTCTCAGTTCCACATCCAGCTCATGTTACCTTGGGTGGCAGCAGGTCACTGCACTGGTGTTTAGCAGTAGCACTGGCCTGCCAAAGATAAGGGTGCTCCAAAAGTTCCCGGGTATGGACATCTCCAGATTCCCATACCAGCCTTCATTTCCCACCTCATGCTCCTGATAAGCTTTTTCAATTGTCCTGTTTTATTCCTGGGATACCTTTCTGACCTCACTGTTCACTTTGTTCTGTGTTTAAGTCCCATCTGTGGGACTGTCCAACACACTCTTGCACATACGTACTGCATGACTCCCACATGAAATTCCCTTTATTTACCTTCTTCCTGTCTTTTAATGCACTGAGGAGACACACATTGCTTGGGTTTGTATTAGATCATGTTCTATAGAGTATTTGCAAAAGGAATTTGCAATGATCTGCTGGGAATGTACAAAATGAATTTCTTATGTGAAATCCTAATATAGCTCTCACTGAAATTATGGATGTCACCAACCTCTTGACTAGAGAAAACTTCTAGTAGTCTATATTATTGTAGTAATTCTGTACATTTATAATTATCTTTCCACCACTAGTAACTTGAGGAATGTTATTTTAACTCTGTAAATTTAAAACTTTTATATACGGGCTTAAAAGACCGGTACATTACACAATTTTTACTAATCACTCTCAAATTATTTCACACATTTGTTTATATTATACAAAGCACTATCCTACATTTGTAATCATTGGAAGTGAGTTACACCATGGTGAAAATACTCATAATAATTACTAGTGGAGTTTACATTTCTTTCTTCATTGATTGTAAATTTGTAATGTAAGATTGTCTAATGCAAGCTTTGTATAGAGATAATTAATGTAACAAATATTTCTTGTTCAGTGAGGTTTGGTGTTACCAGCTTCAAGGCATGCAAGGGTCTTTGGATTTGATTTTTAAAGCTAAGGGTAAAACTTGGCTGAATGTTATTGATTAATGGAAATTCTGAATTCCAGAGAAGTATTTCTGGAAAATCTATGAACCACTTAGTGGTTATTTTGTTGTGAGAGGCAAGACCATTTCTGTCACATTGAAATGCTGATATACTACTAGATCTTGTGTTTTGTTATTGAAAGGGCAACCTGAGTGTCTTGCTGTACTTTATTACTCCCTTGTATAGAGAATGACAGTATCTGTTGTAGAATTGCTCATTTCCTGTTTTGAACACAATCTTCCCTGAATGGCTCAAAATAGTAGCAATAATATAGCTAACAAAACACTAAGATGAATTATTTTCTATATGGAAAGTTAATTTTCCTCATATATCTGAAAGGGGGAATGCTGGTTTTCTGAAAACTCTGCTCCATTCCACAGAGGTGGAATGGCACAGCTGAGCTCTGGAGAGAAAGCTGCTCTGGGAGACAGAGACAAGAAGGGGAAAAAAGGCATTTAAAAATCCCCCAGAATAAATAAAGGGGCTTAAGAAGTGTGTATATTTGTGTAGACCAGTATTGTGTCCCCAGCAGGAAAGGTGGTGTCCTGTGCCAGCACAGAGCCCTGTGACACTTGCTTGTTGACATGAATAACTTCATGGCTGTCTTTGAGTTGGGTTATTTCTGACCTCTAAAATGGGAATCAAAACAATCCCCCACAGGAATGCTGTGAAGCCAGATCATTCCAAACTAAAATGCAGCGTCTAAACAGGAAATGTATCCAAGGTCATTTTAGGTTGGATTTTATAAATGAGGGACTAATGTTAGTATTTTCTTTTTACTATCAGGTAGTAAATGAAAGTATACAGGAATAGCATGTCTCATTTTAAAAGGGAACACAAGTATACTGCTAGCTTCCACATGATCAGTATGTAAAAGTAAGAAAGTGACTAAGTAGTGCAAACAATAGATAATGAATAAAAAAATAGGAACGATAGGTAATGAATAAAAAAATAGGTAGTGAAAAAATAGGTAGTGAGTCTGCGTGCAATGTGGAAGGCTGAAAGGCACGGCTGAGCGTGCCAAGGACAGGGATGACATTTGGGTTATTTGGGTGAAGTGGCAGGTGAGTGCTCTGACCTGGCCACAGATCCATCACCCTGGAGCCCAAGCAGCTCATCTCAGTCCGAGAGGCAGAAATACACTCTAGGGACCAGCACTGTGCCAATATTTATTATTTCTCTCATTATTTCTCTCCAAGGCAGTAAGTATCAAATTCTGGTTGTTCACTGGTACCTGCAAGGTTCAGCTGTTTCAGGAACAGCATTCCAAGCAGAAACTATGCAAAGAGATTGGTTTTAGTAGTGTTTTATATTTGTGAGAGATCTGTATTTGATTCTTTGCTTTTCAGACTTTTGAACCCTTCGTTTCGATGTGTGAACCCTTAGTTTTGAGGAGTATTTTCCAACCTTAACAAATCTCTGTGTATCAGATTCCTGGACCATATTTCTTAATGAGCGAAAGACCTTTTTTATATGAAAGACTGTTGACTTCAAAACAAAGTTTACATCCCACAAATTATTGCAAGATCTTAAAATACAGCGGATTAATAATCCTCAAATAACGTGTCGTCTAGAATGCTGTTGTCGCCGATTTTCATGTTGGTTCTCGTCCCGTACCAAATGCATGAGGGTACCGGTGCTGTTTAAGTCCTGCCAGCCGGCGGCGCTGTCACCGTGCGGGCTCTGACCGAGCCCGGTGTTGTGGGGGATCCCCGGGGATGATCCCGGTGCTGCCCGGGCTCTGTCCGCGGCCCTGCCCGGCTCCATTTCGCGAACTGCCCGCGCTCAAGATGGCGCCGGCCGCCCTCAGCCCGCACTGAACATGGCGGTTCGGGCGCGGAGCGGGGTCATAGGCGGAGGAAGGGGAAGTGACGCCCCCCCCCGTCCCGGCGGCGGCGGTGACGGGCACGGCCGGGGCCAGCGGGGCTCCGTGAGGGACAGAGGCCGGGACCGGGAGCTCAGTGAGTGACTGGGGCTGTGCCAGGGCTCCGTGAGAGACCGGGGCGAGCGGGGCTTTCGTGAGGGACCGGGGCTGAGCCGGGGTTCCATGTGGGAGCGGAGCCGAGCCAGAGCTCCGTGAAGGACCGGGGCTGAGCCGGGGTTCCATGAGGGACCGGGGCCGAGCCAGAGCTCCGTGAGGGAGCACGGCTGAGTGAGGCACCTTGAGGGGCTGGGCCGCCGCTGCCCCTCGACCTGACCGCACCGAGCCGGGGCTCCGGGAGGGAGCGGCGCCCGTCCTCGCTGGCCGGCGGGACCGCGCTGAGCCGCGGGCGGTCCAGCCGTGTTTGACGAGGGGAAAGCCTTGTGTTTGATGAGGGGAAAGCCTCGTGTTTCCGGGACAGATAGCACCGGATCTGTTCGAACCTGCCCCCGAGTTTCGTCAGCTGCTCTTGGCGCTTGTGGTGAGGAGAAGAGCAAACAGCTCAAACTGAGCTTACTGCCCTTTGGAGTTTAGAGCTTTGATTTGGGGCTTCAGGCGTTTTTGTTTTGTTTTGTTTCCTAATGGCTGTGTGAGCAGTGTATGAGTTTTAACGAGCTGGGTGTACGGAGTGTTTGGTCACTTAATGCACCTTTCCTTGCAGCTGCAGCATGGCAGAAGCCTCTGTCTCTCCACTGAAGCACTTTGTGCTGGCCAAAAAGACCATCACTGCCATCTTCGACCGGCTGCTGGAGTATGTCACTGAGGGAGCAGCGTTTGTGGAAGGTGAGCTTTCCCCTTCAACACGAGGGCCTTGTGCTTTGTTCTGAGTATATTTTATTGCAGCGTAATGTACCTTATGTTATCTGTTACTGTGCTGTTTGTATAAACGTGCACCTTCAGAAATAGTCACATTTTTCATTTGACACTGGGGATTTTTTCATCTTGTGCTGGAAGGAATGCCTGGCATTGCTGCATACCTGAAAAGCTGATTAACTCCCTTGCATTGGCAGCCTGGTCTCTTTTCCATGAGGGTGAAAGCTTAACCACTCTGGCCTGACACTTCTGTGGCGGTTTCTCTTGCACATAAGGAAGGACAAACAGGTGCTCCCATTTTCCAGCAGGAAGGTGCATCAGTGATGCAATGCAGGGAACCACTGGTCACACCCTCAGAGGGTTTAGCAGCATGGAATGTGTGAGGCCACACAGAGCCGGTTGCTCATCATCCCAATGAGCCCTGTGGGGGCAAGACAGCCCAGCTTTGCTGGTGCATCTATGGGAGGTACTGGCTTTCCTTTCTGAAGGAAGCAGGAGTCCCAAGGAACTGGGCACGTGAGCCCATCAGGCTGTGTTCACAGGGTTAGTGGATCAGAGGTTCGGTTGGCAATTGATATGAAGTGATTTGTGTGGTGATTTCACCTTGCTTGTGGCAGAGCTGTCAAATGATAAGGGCAGGTATCAATGTCTGTAGTGAGGTTTTTCTTGTTTTATCACTAATTAAAATTTGCAGTTGGCATCTTAAGTACTGATTACTTACACCTTGTTCTCTGTATGTGATTGCTTTTATGTTTTTCCTTTCTGTGTGTAGCCACATACAAGAACCCAGAGCTTGACCATATAGCAACAGAAGATGAACTAGCAAAAATACAAGCATATAAAAACAAGCTGGCAGTCATTGGAGAAGTGCTCTCAAGGAGACACATGAAAGTGGCATTTTTTGGCAGGTAATGATCGAAATTGCCAGTTCTTAATGTCTTTTTTTTTTTTGACTTAGGAAGGTCAGAGGTTGTCCTGTTCTCCAGAATGGCTTTTGGGTTTTTTTAAGGTGGTGGTTTTGTTTGTTTTATTATGTTGTTGTTGCTTTTGGGGTTTTTTGGGTTTTTTTTGTTTTGAACTGTTCCTGCTTAGGATTTTTTTTTTTTGTATTTGATTAGAAGTGCTGAAGAACTAAATTTGGAGCTGTTCATGCAACTGAAGAGAAACAGAAATAGTTGTCTGGTTGGTTGTGACATCAGTCTGATAGATCTGTGTGATGATTTTAAGGATAGCAGTAACAATATGGTCTGCTAGTCCACTTTGCTTCAGGGAATTGATTTTTCTGTCTTTACATTTAAACATATTTTTGGAGTGTGAATCTTCATGGTTCTAAAAATTCTGTGATAGTTGGGAAAAACCCGGAGAACAGTGGTCTTGCCTTCATTTTTGCTAAAAGTAGTTTAGTTATTTAAAGAAAAACTGTAAAAAGTTCTGGAATAAAGAAATTAGTTATATTTCCAGCTTGATATTTCAAAAAGTTAGAAGTTGAGTGCAAGCTGTGATGTGTGACGAAAGTTTCCCTTCTGCAAAGGGGAAAAAGTTCTGAGCAGGACAAAAGAGAGCTCAACTCTCCCTCTGGCATTTTGAATAAATTTGTGAACTGTTGTCCAGTGAGCACTGAACTTTTTCTGGAAGTAGTTCAAAAATGAGTAACAGATCATGCTGTTGTGTAATGGTTAAACCTCAGATATTTCTGGGTGAGGGGTGGAGGCTCAGTGCAGAGTAGGACACTGCTGAGGACTTGAAGTTGTTGCAGAAGGGGGAGTTGGTGACCAGTTCCCCTGAATGAGCACTCCCCACTCTCCTGGCTGGAGCTCTGTACCCAAACCAGCCTGTGCTCTGTGGGGCTGGTGCATCCAGTTCAGCACAAAGGTGTGTTCAGTGCTGCTGTGCTCTGCTCAAAGTACTTTTGTTTTCTATCCCTCCAGAACAAGCAGTGGGAAAAGTTCAGTCATTAATGCAATGCTGTGGGACAAGGTACTTCCCAGTGGGATTGGCCATACAACAAACTGCTTCCTCAGTGTGGAAGGGACTGATGGAGATAAGGCTTATCTGATGACAGAAGGATCAGATGAAAAGAAGAGTGTAAAGGTACATTTTTTGGATGATTTCATGCCAATTTTCACAGGAAATTACTCTCTCAAAAGGTCTCTTTTTAAACAGCAGTTTAAAGTCCTACAGAAGCATAAGGCTTGCTCATTCTGCGTTTTAAAGTTCTTGTTTAGGAGGGAAGAGCAAACTAATGAAGGTGCTCTGCTGCACAGTTTTCTGGGGTGTTCTAGAGAAACAACTAACGTGTGTTGTTTCATTGTAACATAGCATGAGTTGTGATTTATTTTTATAGGACTCAGTAAGTCCTGTTACTGATTAAGGATGTGGAATGTGCCCTTCATTTGGACTGATGGTGCTCACCTTAGTGAACTGCATACTCTGATTTGTTAAACCTCTGAGGCAAATTCATGATGATGCTCAGTAGCACACAGTCCAGCCCTGTAGGGAACATCTGTGACTCAACAGAAACTCTTGTCTGAGTTTCAAGGCACAACTTCTTCTTTAGATGCTGGTGAGTTGAAGAGCTTAGAGAAAAAAATCACAGCTATTCACCAGAACAAAGTATGAACTCTGTTACCCTCTTCAAGGTAGATCCTGTCCAAGTTTGCTTGAGAACTGAGTTTGGCTGCTTTGCAGACTTGTTTGAGGTGCACATTCATGTTGGTGTTGTCTTTAATGCTCTCTGCAGACCGTCAATCAGCTGGCTCATGCACTCCACATGGATAAGGATTTGAAGGCTGGCTGTCTCGTCCACGTCTTCTGGCCCAAGTCCAAGTGTGCCCTGCTGAGAGATGATTTGGTTATAGTGGACAGGTATCTCTTCTGTTTTAGTAAATATTTTCTTAAGGATATTAGCCATTACAATGTTTAGAAAAGAGATTGGTTTAGATTCAAAATTCTTGAAAGGCTTTTTTGTTTGAAAGGACAGAGTTTGTTCTTTTTTATGTACTGCTTGTCATCACCCTCCTGATTGTGCCCTTGTAGCAGTTGGAACAGACAAGTATCTTGTGACTGAGCTGAAAAAGGTTTTGGCTGAGGATACTCTACCTTTAAAACAAGCAGTATGGAAGTGTGAATAGGGTTGTTGCAGCAACAACCTTTTGCCCATTTCCTTTCTTGAAATGCTTCAGACTGATCATGTGAAGTATAAACAATGTGGGCTTCATCTTTAAAAGCTTCTGATAGGAGTTGCAGTGCCTGCATACCAAAGTAATGGGTGACCTCAAAATGTGATTTTGGCTATGTCAGCTGTGTGTGCCCTGTGTTAGGCTGGCATTTCCTCTGTGTTGATGTGTTTAAGGAATTCTGGAAGTGGTTGTTTTGTCCATTATTGTCCAATAAATGCCCTTATTTCTGGCCACTACATTATAATCTACAGTAGCTTTTCAAACCTTCAGGTCATCTGTACCTGATGTGTAAATCAATAAATAGTGAATTTGTGAGTAATTCACACAGGTGTCTGTGACTTTTTAAGTATGATTTCTTCAAGAAAACAACACTCAGAATGTATTCTAATAAATTGCGTTGATTTTTGTTCCATCTCGGTCTTGTACTTTGAAATCACTGGGAGTTTGTTGTTATTTCCTTGGGTGCATGATCTTGGATCAGTACAGCCTCTTCTGCTAAAGAGAAAAGAAAAGAGAATATATTCTGAGAGAGCAGGTACTTGAAAAGAGCAAATCATCCTTTCACTGTTAAATTGAGAGAATTTGAACCACTATAATTTAGGTGTTGCAAACATGATTTAATGTTCATATTCCACTTAATTTTTTTTAATGGATAGCACTATAGTTTTAACTTCATTTTGGTTTCTTCTTAAATCTGTGCACAGTTTGCATAGCATATTGCTTTAAATTTGGACTTTATTAATGAAAAAAATACTTTATGTACTATGGTCTCTTCTGATTAAAATTAGGATCTGAGGAGGGGAACCATTGTGTGAGGCTCTCTGGGTTTCTGGTGGACTGCCTGTCACTTCACTTGGCAGTTAATTATATGTGCATACTTACTAATCAGAAATTGCATTTTGGAATGAATAGGTAGTCTAATGATCAAGTGTCTGATAAATTCCAGATGGTAATTGGCTTGTGCAGTGCTTATCTTAAGTTTGTGGTAGGCATCAGCCTTGAGATTCAAACCTCTGTAATTTCTTGCAAGGCCCTTAGGCATTTCCACTCTATTTGTATCAGTTTATAAAAACCAACTGCTTCTTTGTTGTGTGAATAAGCATTTGTGTTTCTTGTTCTCAACAGCCCTGGCACAGATGTCACTACAGAACTGGACAGCTGGATTGATAAGTTCTGCTTGGATGCTGATGTGTTTGTCTTGGTTGCCAATTCTGAATCCACTCTCATGAACACGGTATGATGTACAATGATTTTATGCTCCTTCATTTAAATATTCAGCAGTTCCATAACCAGAGTAGCTGAGATCTTTACAGAAGGTGAATCACTGCACATAGGACTTGGTGGTGGCAGGCAAGAAATAAAGTGTATCCCTCACTAGGGAACAGAGAGCAAAATTTAAATTTCTGACTGACTTGGCTTTCTCTGCCTTGAGTGTCATGATTGTCCTTTCCAGTTCAGTTGTGTTTTTGGTAAATGGATGATGGAGTGCTTGTCTTGACTTACAATTTGTTGGTATTTGTTACCAACAAAAGAAGACACTTGTGGACTGAAGACACTTGTATTATCAAAGAAATTAAGGAGTGTTTAATATCCAGAAATGCTCCATAAGTTCAGTAAAATGCATGAACTGGGTAAAAGGAGTTGAGTTCCTGTCTTGTTCCTCTCTCAGGAGAGGGTGAATTCCCCTGGCACACCTTGTGTTGAGGATGAGTGCTGCAGGTTCCCCTCAGTGGGTTGTGTTTCTTCTGAAGAAGGTGTGAGCAACAAGGTTCTGTGCAGTGTGGAGAGCTGAAGATACTTAAATGTCTGTGTTCTCTAAAGCCTTGTTTCAGGAGAGAGAAGGGTTCTCTGAACCTTGCAGCCTAAATATCGTAGGACTTGTAAGAGGAGGGGAACATTTAAGGTGGCCAGAGCAGCTGTTGCAATAATCAAAATACAAGACCAGAAATTTGGTGTAATTTTGTAGTGGTCTCCAGTTTTGACTAAACTAAGTATTGTGGATGCTGACAATAAAAGGTTTCTAAGTTATTGCAAGTGTGACTGCCAGAATGCAGAGTAATACTACTGAGGGAATTCCTGATGATTTTTATTAAGCCCACTGCAGACAAATCATATGCTCTGGTTTTTCTGAGGATGGTTCTCATCTGAAAGGTGTGAACTTTCTAAACTGTTGAGACAGTTTTTAATAGAATAAAGAACTGAGTGTGCAAAGACAGTATTTCTTTGCATTCTAGCAAATTAGAGTAGTTTAGTAGAAGTATAAGAATTCAAGTTTAAAAACCTTGCATTCCGTTGTCTGAGCTGAGTCCACAAAGAGTCAAATACAAGAGATGTAATTTAGAAGAAAAAGAAAATCCTTAAAACATTCCAGACAAAGAGGATTTGACACAAATGTGACCATATCTTCTCTGTTGTGCACGAGTGACACTTCTAGGTTTTTGGTATGGACAAAACCTGTAAGTTGTTTATATTATGTCTATAACACCGCTGCTGGGGTCTTTTAACTAAAGGAAAAAGAAAAATTATTTCAGTGAACATCTCACTGCTATATAGATAACATAAGTTATCCTGCAGATAAAGCTTTTGACAACTAAAAATTCTCATCCCCCTTAAGCATTGTTTTTGCCTCTTACCATAACAAGTTTGAGAATACTTGGCATTATTCTGCCACACTACCTGAGATTTTTTTGGTGAAAATTTGATTCTTCTACTGTTCCCTCATAAATTCTCCTCAGACCAAGTTCTGATTTCTGCAGCAGTGATCTGGATTGCACATGCTTATTCCCAGCTGATGGAGAATCATGGGTCTCCAGTGCTGTGTCCAGGATATGCTGTGGTGTCCTGCTGGAAAAGTTTATGGCAGCACAGAGATCTCTTCTGTTTCAGCTTTGCTGAGTGGGGACTCCCTCCATCACGACTTACCCATTATGGCTCTGTTAACAGCAATAATGGGTGGTAGGTGCAGCCAGGAGACCTAAATACACTTAATTTTGTTAAATTAAGACATTCCTCAATGAGGTTTTTTTCTGTGTCTCAACCATGTGTCCTCATGCAGGAAATGTTATTTCTCTGTAGCTCAAGCTGATGTTGCCTAGCTGAGGAATAGTTAGATGTTGTATTATCTGAACAGAGAACCAGATTTGACAGGGTTAGCAGGAGCATCTTGGTAGTTCAGGTAAGGGAGACTTCATTGTTTTAGTCAGGCATCAGTAGTTTTTGGACTATTTTTTGGAAGTTTTCTTAGTTTATATTTTTATCAATTTTTAGAGAAAGTTGCAGTGTCTTTGACTAGCACTGGCATCGGTTTTAAGATATTTGATGACTTTTGAACTACCCTAAGCCTGTTATGTGCTGAATATCTCTGGGGTTTTATACTGATGAATTCTTTATAATAAACTTCTAAAAAGCTGGATAAACTTCAGAATCTGTTAGAGAAGAATGCATGACTCTGGTTTGGATGTCTGGGAAATTTTCTGTTTGTGCTTTAATTTTTAGGAGAAACATTTTTTCCATAAAGTGAACGAACGACTTTCCAAGCCAAACATCTTTATCCTCAATAACAGATGGGATGCTTCTGCATCAGAGCCAGAGTACATGGAAGATGTGAGTGAATTGATGGCTCTTACATGGGTTGACAGTTAATTAATATGTATTAATATGGAAACACCAGCTCTGTCTTATTAATACAAGGCTAAGTTATATGGTCAGAAAAAGGAAATAACTATTCCTCATTCAAACCTAAAAGTAACTTGCAATTCAAATGACAGTATATGCAGACAATTAATAAAATGGGAGACTTCTTTAGAACCTTTTTCCTCCACAGTTAAGGTTGTTTTTTAATCTTATTTGTATTACCTTTTGTTTCTGCAGTGATAATGCAGCCTGAGGGCACAGTTTATACATTTATACCTGCATAGAGTAGCTGGGAAGGTGCAGTGTTAGGTGGGAACAGTTTGGATCTTCAGATCTTGCCAACAGCAGCCAGATTGCAGTGAGAATTATTTCTCCATGTCTGGGGAATGAAGAGTTTACCCCAGAAACTGCCTAAGATCTCTGACTTACGTAAATGCAGTTGTACAAGGAGGTATTGCTGTGTCCAGGCCTGTTTAAAGGAGTAAAAGCAGCTGCTGCTTCTGTAGGGTTGGCAGGCATCTGCTCTCAGAGGGTGGCTCAGCATCTGTTTCTGCTCTGATGTTTGATGTGCTCACTCTCAGCTCAGGCTTTGCCTTTGTTCATGAGCTTTGTTCCTTTCCGTAGGTGCGGAGGCAGCACATGGAGCGCTGTCTGACCTTCCTGGTCGATGAGCTCAAAGTTATTGATCCTGTGGAAGCCAGGAATCGCATCTTCTTCGTTTCAGCAAAAGAAGTTCTGAGTGCCAGGACACAAAAGGCCCAAGGAATGCCAGAGAGTGGTGTGTAGCAACTCCTGCTTTTCCTCAAATACAGAAAAACACTATAAAACGTACTAAATACATTTAAGATGCTGTCCCTGCTGTGAGGTACTGCTGTCTCCCTTATAGTGTGTTGTTTCACAGGTGGAGCACTTGCTGATGGATTTCAAACAAGATTCCAAGAATTTCAGCATTTTGAGCAGATATTTGAGGTATTTATGATGGGCTTTCTAAACTGCCTGGTTTTTGTTGTAAAGGTAGCTTTTTTTTATACTTACCTTAATTATACTGAGCATTATCCATATTAGCAAGTGGAGGGGTGTAATGTATTTAAACCATCTGCAGCTTTGCCTTTTCTGTGGGTTCTGTTCATATCCTCTCACCTTCAGTAGCAGGTAGTTGTTGGAAAGGAGAATTATATAAGTGAGGGAAGGGAACAAAACTCTTAGCTCATCTTCTGACATCTCAGGACCAATATAGTCTATGTAAGAAGAAATTATGGTCTTGAAACATATATATCACTTACAGCCATGTGCTGGTGAATGTTTGCAGTAAGAAATTTAGTTTCATCAATGTAAATCTAAAATTATGCTTTCATTTCTAAAGCCAGAGTTTTGAATTTATCACCATTATGTACCTCTTAGCTCTGTTGTTCTGATCATTAACACTCTCCTTGCATCCTCTGTTCTGTACAGAATCCACCCTTCCACCTCACTTTAGCCATATTCATGTCTGGAGTTCAGTTTCTACAGAAATAGGACTGGCTAGACAGTTGAGTGGTTTCTTTATTATAGGATCCATTTACTTGCTAAATTTGATAACTTTAATTAACTAAAGCCATTCTTGGATATCTTAAGAAAGCCTCTTGGGTACCCCTCAATGGTTTTGTATATGAGTATTTAAAAAAAAAGAATCTGCCTCTGAAAAGTCTTTCTTGCATTACAACAAACCCATTTAACCTTAGCAGAACTGAATTATGTAGTGATGTGTGTATATGTGAAAGGCTTTAAAATAATAGCTTGATTTGGTCTTGCATAAGCAAGAAAACATCAGACTAAATTTAATCCTTATCCACACTCTTCTGATAGGAGACTGAAGTGTTGAAATGATGGGTGCAGGGTGCTGGCAGGGCCTGGCTGCATGAGACATGACATTTCTTGTGTCTCTAGCTGTAGTCAAACATGCATGTTTTTTGCAATTTTTGTCCTCAGAACCATAATAGGAAACTTTAAGCCAGCAGGAGAAAAGTGGAAATTGAGCTTCTAAATCAGTTATTGTTCTTTATTGTATTTTGTCATCTGCTGTACCCAAAGCTTTTTTGACAAAATCTCTTATAATTACAGTTAAGCACTCAACACTTAGAATATTTCAGTATGAAGATGGATGATGACTTGTGATGCTGTGAGTGCTCAGCACATCTGTAAATCAGATGTCACAGACTCAAGTTGACCACCACAATGAGAAGTATCTGTCACAGGATCAGAGCCATGACAAGTTTCTGTGGCACAAGGAACAATTCTGTGACAGCACTGCATGGCCTTAAATCAACCTTTTTTCTTTTTTCCCAGTGTGTTACATTTGCTGCACACCTGACTCCAACAGTGAGAGTGGATTCTGTAGTGTTTTTCCTTGCTCAGCTGTGTTTTGTAAAACCATTATTAATGGCTTTGAATAGGGGTGTGATGCCATAATTTAGAGAATGAAAACTGTGCTGAATTAAGATTGCCAAAGCAGTTTAAATTTTGAGCACTTGCTGTTGCAGCCTCTTTCACATTCAGGTTTTTGTGGCAGTTTTCTAAGTTACAGTGGCAGTTTATGTGCTTTTAAAGCAAGGCTGAGACTCAAATGGTTTACCAGGTCTGAAGTTTTCAGACCTAATACTCAAATTACTGTCACCTGAGCTGATAAAGTAGCTGACACCAGCAGGCTGTTGTCACCAGTTCTGCCTGCCAGCTCTGGGCTCTGTATTAATGAGGAATCTCAGACTGCAGGGAGAACTTTCTGTGTGAAATCCTCACTGATCCCATGCCTTGTGCACTGCCAGGCCCTGAGTACAGCCTAAGCACTTTGCATTTACTCCTGCCAGAGGAGCTGCAAGTCCCAGCACTGGGGTTACATTGCAGTGTGTGAAAAGGAAGGGATGAGAGCACAGATGCTTCTGTCTGTCCTCATCAAACACTGACTCCTCCCCTCCCTCAGTCTGTCTTGCCTTTAGCTCCTTGTCCTGTGCAGGTGCCCTCCTCAAACTTCCCAAACTTCTCTCAGTAATCTGTCACCTCTCAGACCTGTCCACATGTGCCTTGTTCCCCCTGCCTGTACCTGCTGGGTTTGCTCCTCCTGGATTCTCTCACCTTGCTTTTGTCATCACTAAAATTGGACAGCTTTTGCCTCTTCTCCATATGGGCTGAGAAGAGGAACTGTTACTTCTCCAGTACTTCCACATTCCTGATTTTAGTATCAGTTCCCTGGTAGGAAAGCCTGTTCATTGCAGGCCTGAAATGAGCTCAGTATAGATAGAATCTTTTTAAAAATAAATCTAGAAACATCCCCCCAGTGCTAGTTAGTTGTGATATGAGAAAAACTTGGACTAATTTTGGAAAGCTTGTAAGGTTTATATAGACTTTAGTGTGAGGGCAAAAATCATTCTGAAACTAGATGAAACATGTTTGTCTACAAAGCACAGGGTGGTTGAAGTTGCTAAAAAAAAAACCTGGTGCAGGCATTACTAGAAACAATTGTAAGCAGTGGGAAAATTAAGATTTTAGAGATTCATGTAGTAGCTTTAAAATGTGATGCTACTATGTCAGCTGTATTGCAACAAAAGAAAGGAGAGAGGCAGTCTTAAAGCATTGAAATCTTGGATCAGTGCTGGATTTTTATACTAGGGAATGATAGAAAGTGGTCAGTGTATTTCCTGAAATTTTACACTGAGGTACACAGAATGCCTTATTAAAACAGCAAAGAAATGCCTGGGCCCTGCCCTGTGTGCAGTAGTGCCTGGAGGATATCCTAGATAAAACCAGCCCCACCATGCCTAAGGCTGGGGTGCTTCTCAAGTTTCTCAGAAGTGCTGGCAGCAGAATTGGTGTGGGAAGCAGTGGAGGAGGGAGGAGGGTGGAAGAGAGCTCCTGGCTGGCAGAGCTGGGGTGAGGCAGCCCTGCAGAGCCTTCCCCAGCTCTGCCCTGGGATGGGATACAGAGCACTGGGCACTGACAGCTCTCCTGTGATGGAAGGTAACTGGTTTTGCTTAGACTGTTGAAACAGTTCATCTTGGTTTCAGTAAAAACTTTTGTACAGACTAACAGCCAAACTGCTGCTGTCCCCCTCTTATCTCTCCCCACTGTTTAACTAACCTTTGTGTTTTTCCTAGTGCTCTAACTTGGATTTTCTGATTGTGTTGTGAGTGATTGTCATCCTTTTACCTACCACGTACTAATGTTGGGAAGACTCTGCTCTGTGCCTAGTCTAGCTCTTACAATGTGCTGATATTTAAAAAACTCTGGCCTTTCATTGCTGATTTCTAGATCTGCTTCGTCGAGGAACAGGGACTGTTTTCTCCATGTTGTTTATTTTGTTTTCATCTATTATTTTTAGATAGCTGAGATTTGTAATTACAGCATATGCTGAGGTAATAGGCAAATTTTCTAAAAGCCATTCAAACCTGTGCCATGAAAGGTGAATCCACAGATGGAGAACAATTTAAAAATCCCATTGATGTGGTTTAAGGAAGTCAGCTGCTTGCTTTCTTCCCCTCAAACACAAGAGTTCTTCAGTCACTGTCCTGTATTTCTGAATTGCTGTTCAATGTTGAAGATTGATTAGAAATTGTATTGTTAGAGCATTTTCTGCTTACTCATTTAACACTTCAGTAATATGTAAACAAACTGATACTTTAAGGACTACTTAAATTTTATTTATCCCATAAGAAAACCCTTGTTTCTTATTCCTAATTGTATATTTTGTTCCTGGATGGTCAGTATTGACATGACAATGTCAAATTCTATTGACAGAGTTACCTCTTGAAAGTAAGACTGTGTAGTGCCACAAATAAAACTCAAGCCAAGCCATATTGCTAGCACTCATATTTGACATTTGTAATTCCAAATAGATGGTTTTGAAAATTTCTTGAAGAGATAGATTTATCCGATGTATTCATCTGAGTTTTCTTTTTTTTTTTCACATTATTAATTTATTTTAAAAGAATGAAAACCGATGCACATTACTGTGAATGGACACGAAGGCAGATTTGCTGCTGTAGATTCATTTAAGATTTCAGTTTCTGTTGTCTTTTAATTTCTTTATACTTTCTCCCTTTTTATTTCCCACTGGTTTAAGTTCATGGTAAAATTGGCAGCATGTGCTTTCTGACAGTGAAATTCCTGATGGTGTTGGCATGGAATTGCAGTAATGTGTTGTGGCTTGGGCCCCTCGCAGGAGTGTATCTCGCAGTCAGCCGTGAAAACCAAGTTTGAACAGCACACTATCAGAGCTAAACAGATAATAGATACTGTGAAAGACATTATGGACACCATAAACGTTGCAGCAGCAGAGAAAAGGTAGGTGGGGTGGAGGACTGGTTGGATTTGGTTTGTCCAGATCATCTGAGGAGCCATTTCTGGGCTGGTGATTTTCTTGGGCCATTACGGACTTTAAAATCCACTTTTTCTGCTTGGTAAGAAACAGACAATTTCCCTGGTATGTCAGTATGTCAGTCTTACCGTTGTTCACTTGCCCACTCAGTTCTGTTCTTGGTCTGTGATTTCTGTACAGGGATCTTGGTTTACTTTGGTGTTCTTTGTTACTGATTTGCAATCTGTGTGTTTTCAAACCTTTTTTTCAATAATAGTTAAAATGTTACGTTTTTCTAGTGATATGCAGCATTTCAGAGATGATGTTTGGGCCTGCTTTACTTTCTTTAACAGTTACAGTGAAGAATAAAAATGGAAGGATGTAGATGCTTTAATTTGCAAGTGATTAGAATACTGTAAGGAATGAGATGAGCCCAAGCTAACAGAGGCTTGGCCTCTGGCCCTTTCCAGATTGCATCCTTAAATATCCTTATTCTCTCTTCACTCATGTAATCCTTTAGTGCTAATGATAGCAGCTCATCTGTTCTGTCTGGTAGCTTCATGTATCCTTTGAGGTTTGCATATGTGTGCAGCTTTTCCTCACTTTTGTTGCCACCTTGTGTCTCTTGTACACAGTGAACTTGCTGTCACGATTAATGCTTCCCATCCATCTCCTTCCTGCCTGTCAATAATGTGTCTTTGTGTTTCAACAGACTTCACTGTGCTGTCAAACACACTCATCCCCCTGAATATGTCAGTTTTTACAGACTGCCTGTTTACATACTGACTTGTCTCACATTGTCAGATCCCATGAAAACATGCTGTGAAGTGTTTGAAAATATTCTGATATTCTGCTTCTTTCTGTCAATTGACTTAACCAGAATGTCTGTGGTGATGCCTCTTAGTTTGAATTGCTATTTGTTGTTTCTGGTGGCCCTTCAAGAGGAAATTGCTCCAGGTTTTCAGGAATTTTTGCTTAGGTCAAGGAATTCTAGAGAGACTTGTTTGTGACAAGGTTGGTTTCTCCCACATCCCCTTTGCTTTGCAGGGTCATCAGGCCCACATCACTGTTAAGGAGTGGTTTAGTGCTGTTTGTCAGCAGAAGTTTGATCAGATTGACCCTTTTTTAAAATCAGGGTAGATGAGTTATTAAAGGCCTCTGATTCCCCACACCTTTTTTAGTTGTAATCCTGCGACAATACAGTGATGACAGCTCTGACTCAAAATGCTGCTTTTGAGTTGTGTTTGCTCAGCACAGCCTTTGAATGGAGCTGCCATGTCCAGCCCTTCTTGGAGCAGGGCCTCTGCTTTGGGCAGCCAGTGTCACTTGGGATTCCCCTGGCTGCTCAGAAACCATCAGCTGATCCTGGTGAAGGGTTTGTTTCTTTCCTGGGGGAATGCATGGTGGTGATGGTGATTTCCTTTCTGCTGGGTTAGAGTCCAGTCCATGGAAGAGAGAGAAGATCAGAAGGACAGGCTGGACTTTGTGAGAAACCAGCTGAACATTTTGACAGAAGACACCAAGGAAAAGATCAAACGCGTTACTGAGGAAGTCGAAAACAAAGTAAGTCAAGGCAGTGGGAACAACTCCTCAGATCCAGGTGTTGCCTCCTCTCTCAGGCAGCTCCTTTTGCAGTCCACTCATCTCAGGAAATATGTTTGAAATGTCAGAACACTTCTTTTTCAATTAAAAAGAAAAGAAAAAACAAAAGCTTAAAATACCAATCTTTCCTGAGTGTCAGATGATTGAATGATTTCTTGGGACAGTTCATGCAGTTGTCTGTTCTCACTGTCTGGAAAAGGTAGCAGAAACATTTTATGCATTTCCTGTGTTCTTCCAGGTCTCCTCTGCTATGACTGATGAGATTTGCCGGCTTTCAGTTTTAGTTGATGAATTTTATTCTGATTTCCACCCTTCTCCTCAAGTATTGAAGCTCTATAAGACAGTAAGTTTTTTTGAATGGTTTGAAGCCAGACTCTTTGTCTTTCCCTTAATTTCTACTTCTGTGTTTTCATAAATTGCTTAGATTTTATGTGACTTTGAGCAATCCAGGATTTTTGCTTGCTGACATGTGCATATCTCTTCCCAAAACTGAAAAAGGTTGAAAATATTTTCTGCTTTGTTTTTGGAAAGAAATTAATTTTTTCAACATGTTTTTAGTAGTAGAATGGTTCCTAATTTCAAGTTTTCACTTCCAGCAAATAAGACTTTGCATAAATAATTTTCTTTACTCCTAAAATCAAATAGATCCAAAAATAAAATAAGCTTGCAAATACTCAACACTTCTAATAAAAACTGGTTTGGGGGTTTTTAATTTTAGAAATTCCTTCTCAAACTTAGTGCTTTAAGTTAAAGCACATATACCTACGTTTGCATCTTGTGCTGATAGCGCTGCCTGCCATAGCTGCCCCCTGGAGTCACAGAATGTTCTGAGGTGGAAGGGACTCACAAGGATCACTGAGTCCAGCTCTTACACAAATGGCTCATATGGGGATCAAACCCACAACTTTGGTGGTAACAGCACCACACTCCAACCAGCTGAGCTCATCTCAGGCTGTTCCAGCCTGGCTGATCACCTGGAGTGCTGCATTTTCAGGACAATCCGTGCTGGTTCACCTCAGCAGAGCATCCTGGGCAGGCCCCCGTGGGAGTTGGTGGGATGGGTTTGTCCCTGTGCAGAGCAGTGGAATTGGCTCCCATCAAATGACACAGTAAGGGCTTTGCAGGGCTGTAGGTAGTGGTTTGCTTTTCACTGTCACAGTGAAAGTACAGACTTCTGTGCCTTTTAATGTTTACAGTCCTAGGGAAATCTTTCCTGTGTCTCTTTAGTTAGGTTTTCAGTCCCAGTGTGCAGTTGGAAAACATGGTATTTCCATGGAAACATGCTTTTCTTCCCACTGTAAATAACAGTTCTTAGTATGTAACATATTCCTGCCCCATATAATGTAACTGATAGGCTAAACACAAAGTGATGGGCTTGTGTTCTTTGTGGCACTTCAGGAACTGAACAAACACATAGAAGATGGTTTGGGGAAGAACCTGGCTGAGCGCTGCTCCACTGAAGTCAACCAGTCAATGCACCAGTCCCAGCAGGAGATGATTGGTAGGAGGAGGGAGGAGGAATGGTAACACTTCACATTTAAAGGAACACAATCTAAGAAAATTCAGTTTTAAAAGAATTTTCCTTCTGATCATGCTTAACATTGATGCTATAAAGGGTAAAAGAAAAGCCATGATAGACCAGGACTGTGTTTAGCTCAGTCCCCTGTTTCTGATACTAACCAGTAACAGATGCTGGGGGAGAAGAACAGTGAACCAGGGTAAATGTAGCAATCCCTGTCCATTTGATGGACTTCTGAGCTGGTACACTGCATCTGGAGTAATGGCTTAAGCAAGTAGTCATGGACCTGTCCTTTGGAAGCTCATCTAATCCTTTTATAAACCCATTTAAAATTTGCCTTCAACGTCAGACACACCAAATACACTAATTGTTAGAAAATGTTCCTGCAGTATAGTGCTCTCCCTAGAGCAGACCCAGAAAGCAAAACACTTTATTTCACAAAGGATTTGTACACTCCCCCCCTTTTTTTTTTGTTTCTTTTTAAGTAGTAACTTTATTGCACATCCATCTCTATTGGTCTGTTCCTGGTAATGAAAGATTCAGAGTGAGATCATGAAATTACATGAACTTTTCCATCCTCTTATGTACTAATATTGCCTTTTCTGTGTGGCACCATGGAACTGATGGATAAATTAAATTTTTTTCTTACTCCATCCCTATCTTTTGATCAGTGGTAGAGGTCTTTCAGTTTATTTGAGCCTTTTTTTCCAGCAGTGAGTTGATTTTCATGACTGTTTTCTTGTATTGGAGCAATAAATTCCCTGCTCTGTTAGGGTCAATCCTGCTGAAGTGCCACTGATTTTACAAATAAATAAATAATGAACTGACCATTTTAGATTCTCTGAATTGATAAAGCTGGTCAGCAGTGCAGAGATACTGTTTGTGAATATGCTCTTCTTCTAATGGTAACTCATCTTTACTGTTTGTTCTTATTTCTAGAAAATCTGAAACCATTGTTGCCTTCTAGTGTTCAGGATCAGCTCCACTTGCTAATTCCATGCAGGAAGTTTGATCTTAGCTATGATCTAAACTGTCATAGCCTGTGTGCAGATTTTCAAGAGGATATCATGTTCCACTTTTCTTTGGGATGGACTTCTCTTGTAAACCGTTTCTTGGGTCTTAAACAAGCTCAGAAAGTACTCCAGGGATTAACAGATCCAAACCTACATGTGAGTCCTTCAGAGCTTGGACTGCTTTGTTTTACCTTGATGAGAATATATTGATTTTTCCTCTGTGCCAATGCTATTTACACGCTTCCTGCTGCCTTTCCCTAGATCCATTGTGTGAAATATTTTTGGTGTGGGTTGTTTTTATTGGATTATATTCAGGGTTAGAATGGAACTGAAAACCTCTTTTAAACTTTCTGCAGCTGTTACACAAGTTGGTTTTCCTTTGGCTTGAACCCTTTGAGTAGCCTATTCCATTTGTAATATTTGGATCTTTAGGTCAGAACCAGCCCTACGCAGACCCTTTTTCTCTCCTCAGGAGTTTTGTGCAGATTTCACTGCTGAAGGCTTTCCTTCAAGTAAACCAAAACCTGAATATATGAAAATAAAGCCCATCTGTGTAGCTCCCTGATGCTTTTGACTCAGGCTGCCCTGTTCCCATTCTAGATCCCTCGTCCTTTAGCCAGCACCCCGTCTGCCGCCTTAACTCCCGACAGCGCGCCCCAGGAGGAGTTCATGGTTCCCTTGGTGTTGAGTTTGGCCTCGCTGACATCCCGGACCTCCATGAGCATCATCATTGTTGGTGGAGTGGCAAGTAGCACTTTTCCTGCTGGAAGGGTGGCAGAGGCTGAGCTGCTCTGTCCTGCCTGGGGTGTAACACAGAGCGTGCCATGCACTTGATACTGGGCCAGATGAGCATGTGCAGTGCCCTGGATACTCACAGTCAGTTCACAGTGAGAAACCAGGCTAATCACTGTGAGGATAGCTGGGTGTATTCTGTGCCAGAAGTCTGTGTTCAATGCCTGAATTAAATGGTGATCTGATGGTACCTCCTTCACTTTGAATTTAGTTGGAGCTTTGCTTCTTCATGAAGAGCATCAAGCTTCTGTAACCTGCACATTCTCTGTGCCATTGGGGACCAGCTCATGTGAATGTAGCTGTATTGCTCTGCAGTAATAATATGGAAAACATTTATTTTCTTAAACAAATCCAGTGAAAGAGCTGTGGAGATGATTTTTTAAAAAATGGGCGAAGTTAGCTTTTATTCCATAGATCACCTTATTTAAGCTAATGAAGATTTTGTTTTCCAGATTTGGAAAACTGTAGGCTGGAAGCTGATCTCGCTGTCGCTGAGCATGTACGGGCTGCTGTACCTGTATGAGAGGCTGACCTGGACCACGCGGGCCAAGGAGAGAGCCTTCAAGCAGCAGTTTGTCAACTACGCCACCGAGAAGCTGCAGATGATCGTCAGCCTCACCAGCGCCAACTGCAGCCACCAGGTGCAGCAGTAAGTGTCACACGGGCTGGCCCTCACTGCCACAGGCATTGTGGGGTTTGTGAGGTCCCCAGAGATGAGAATTTGGCTCCATGTTCTCAGAAGGCTGATTTATTATTTTATATTAAAAGAAATTACATGCTAAAACTGTACTATAGAAAGAGAAAGGATACATCAGAAGGCTAAACCAGAATGAGAATGAAAGCTCGTGACTGACTCCTTAGAGTCTGACACAGCTGAGGGTGATTGGTCATTAATTAAAAACAATTCACATGGAACCAATCAGAAATGCACCTGTTGGTAAATGATCTCCAGACCACATTCCAAAGCAATCAGATAATTATTGTGTACATTTCTTTTCTGAGGCTTCTCAGCTTCTCAGGAGAAAAAATCCTGGCAAAGGGATTTTTCAGGAAATATCATCATGGTGACAGGCCATTGTCACTGGCCCTGCCTGATGGCACCTCTAGTGTCACTTGGCACTTAGTGGGAGGGGGTTTGAGGAGAGTCTAAAATGCCACCTGAAAAGGCCAATACTTGCATCTGTGTGTGGTACTGTGAAGATGGTGGCTCTTTGTCCAGCACCTTACAGTAGAGACATGAGAGATCATTTTAGTGGAGGCTGAGTTGCTCTGCCTTTGGAGTCCCTGGAAGGTTGAGCAGAGCTTCTGCCCCAGGGGCTGCTATGGGCAGGTTCTGAGCAGCCAATTCTGGCTCTTCTGCACTGCAGGAGATTATTTTCACTCACCTTTCTGAACTATTCCCTGAGCTACACAGGAGAGAGAGGTGTTCTGCACCCTGGGGGCTAGAGGGTGCTTTAGCAGCCCTAATTTTCTGAAATAATAATTCAGTCAAAATACAGTTTCAAGAAGAAGCTGAGGAAGGCAATCAACCAGACATTACTTAGCAGAAACAGGTGGGAAAGTGTTTTGCAAAGAGAAAAAAAAAAAGGAATAGTAAAAAGTTTTGCTTCAGTAGAGGAAATAGGTCCATCCCTGTGTCTAGCAGCCCTGAGGACATGGAAGAGCTGCACTCAAACCAGTGCTGCAGTTGAGAGGAGAGGGTGCTTCATCTCCTGCATGAGAGCTTGGGTGCTGGGCCCAGGCTGGTTACTGGGTTTGTTTTCCCTTTGTGTGAGGTTGGGTGGGCAGGTGTGGAGCGCTCCTCACCTGCACAGGGCTCACGTTCCTGTGAGCAGGGCTCAGTGTGGCACAGGGCATTGAGCTTGCCAGTGTGGGGCTGCTCTGGCACCTCCTGCCACAGCCAGAGCCCCATCTCACACCTGCACCTGGAAATGGCCAGGCATGGACTGAGGTGCATTTGGTGTGTTGAGGGTTTCTTTTTCTAGTTTAAAAAGTACCCAGTTCTCCTGCTTTCTGCTATTCTGTACTCCCATACAGAAGGTTTGATTCCTGTGTTCTGCACACTGCAATGCCATGAGATTTTCTTTTTTTTTAGCATTAACTTCTGTAAATCATGATTATAAACTTGTTCTCACCTTAGGGAAATGGCCACTACTTTTGCTCGGCTCTGTCAGCAAGTGGATATTACTGAGAAAAACCTGGAAAAAGAAATAGCTAGGCTTTCCAAAGAAATAGATCAGCTGGAGAGCATACAAAGCACCTCCAAGCAGCTGAGGTAAGTCTTGGTGTGGCTGGCCACAAGCATCTCTTAGCCCTGCTGACTCCAGAGTGATCTGTGCTTGTGTCAGACTGGAATTGAACTAGGTTAGTTCAGGTGCAGGAGGAGATGCAAAGATACCCTGAACAACTCTGGGTATGTTAAATAAATGTATGCTGCTGCCTCAGTGAATCAGCTAACCTCCAAAAATACTATTTCTTAGATCATCTTTACCCTTGTCTCTCTTAAGTGGGGGAGACAGGTGTTTCAGCAGAATTTGAGTCTCCTGTTGGTAACTTGAGGGTGGCACCTTCCCAAGCCCCTCCCCAGAGCAGAGCAGGAGAGCAGCTGTGCTCTTTTGAGTCATCAGTGCAGTACTGGTGGTGCCAGTGGTAGGTGTTTGCAGAGGAGGAGCTTCCAGCAGTTGGTGGTTCAGGGCTTGGAAGGAGCCTCAGCTGTACTTTCCTGTCCTTCCCACCTGCTGAAAGGCTGCTGCCTGCTGGCCTCGGGCATCCACCCCTGATGGTGAACGTCTGCCCCCACACACTCCTTCTAAAAACCTGCATTTACATTATCTTAGTGTTGGGGGTGTGAGTAGATGAATAGAAATAAAACACTGATACTGATCCTGCCTTTGGGATGTTCAGGCACTGAAGTAAATCCCTTGCTTTTGTTTGTTTTACAGAAATAAAGCCATTCACCTCGAGAACGAACTAGATCGCTTCACAAAACATTTTCTTCAAAAGAGTAAATAAAACATCATTGTGAACCTTCCCGGTGCTCCTTTGTAGGGCAAAGTAGGAATTTTACAGGTGACACTTGTATTCTATGAAAATGATTTATATTTTTAATGTTACTCTGGTGACAGTTGTTGTAAAACTTGGACTCTGATGGTGAACCAAACGGTAGAGCTGTGGTACTCTTGAGTGTTATGTTCATTTTGCAGATTTTGGGTTAAAAATTACCTTTAAACACTAAATTTTTTGGGCACTTGACAATAAAACCCCAAATCCTCACTGGTTTTCATAAGTATGTAGCAGTGGCAAGTCTCTCTTCCTGGCATCCAGGACCTCAGACAGGGAAAGAGCTTAGCCCAGTCTCCTGCTTTCAGCTGCTTAGGAATTGTCCAGGGCTGGAGGGTGCTGGTTTTCCATGTGGATGTGACTTTGTTTAGTGAAGGGAAGTACAAACTCTGGCATGGGAAAGAAGTCCTGAGATGTTCAGAAAGGAGGTGCCAGTGTGTTGGGCAGCAGTTCCTCTTGAAAGGCAGCAAAGGTGAGGGTGAACTGCAATAAGGAAATGCAGAGGGCTCAGGGCTCCTCTGGCTCCAGCCTTGAGCCAAGAGGGCACTGATGCCATAGATGAACCTGTTCCTTGCATTTGAGCAGTGCTGTGGTCCTCTGCCTGTGAGCAATGGCTGTAACCATGGTCAGGTGAGCTCAGGTGTGGCACAGCCCCAAGCACAGCCAGGCCCAGCAGGGTGTGCTGAGATGGTCTGGGCACGGATGGTGCAGGTTGGCTCAGGGTGCCAGGAGGGACCTGGAGCTCCTGTTGCTGCATTCAGGGAGCAGGACGTGGTGAAACCCCATCTCTCCCTTCCCAGCCCCTCTGCTGCAGAACAGGTTTGCTCCAGCTCAGACTCCAGGCAGCGGTGCTGGAGTCCTTGACCTCTTTAACAACCTTCTGCAGTCATTCAGCATCTACTTTTTTCTAACTAGACTTTTTAAAATTATTTTAAAAGAAAAGCCTTTGCAGAGTATTTATATATTTTTATGGCAGTGTTAATATTGACTAAGTTAAAGATTGAGCTCTCAAGTATAGGAGTTTGCCATTTTCAAGTAACTAAGGGCTGTCTCATCAGGAGATAGATGTAAGATGTAATGCTAGAGGCACTGAGGGAAGACAGCAGTTCCAGCAGTGTGTCTAGGTGTTTGTTCTGACTGTGCATGGGGAGTCCTGGGGGTTTGAAGGAAAGTGTGGAATCCACCCCTGAGAAACAGCCCAACCTTGGTGTGGTGAGGGCAGAGCTGTGTATCAATGCTCTGTTTGTGGAGCATCTGTATTGACATTGTATCAAGATAAAACTTTCAATGCATGTGTTCTGCAGTTATTTATTAAAAAAGTCCTACCCCTGTGCTCTAGTAAGTTCTTTGGCAGCTCTGTCCCAGGTGGAGGCTGCACATCACTCCCACAGGTACTGCAGATCCAGGACAGGTCCCAGCTGCTGCTCCATCCCCATCCCAGGGGCACTCTCAGGCCAGGGGCTGCTCTAATACAACACCGACAGCTCAGCCAGGCTGGTTAAAAGCACTTGTTTATTGGTTACAATATCAACTCATGGCAACATCTTTCACTGAGCCACTGTACAAATACAAAGAAAAAGATCCGTCGTGGAAAAAAAAGCTATAAACAAAGTTCATAGCAAGTGATTTTTTTGTCACAGGGAAGTCTTTTTACAACAGCACTGTTAAAGAACAAATGGCACAAGTCCCTGGTTTTTTAATAGCTTAAATAAAAGCCTTAAGACTGTTTCTGAATACATACATAATCCAAAGGCAGTGCAGAATCACTTCATAATTGGTAACATTACCAAAGTTTTCCAAAGTAGTCAGCAACAAGTAAAAACAAAACAAAAAAAGCTGATGAGAGATGCTGGGAACTAAAGGCAAAGTAAAATTTAGCATGTTTAGAAGCACTTTGCTTTGGACTCCTTTGGATGTAATATGTACTGCAAGTGTTCAGATGCTTTTATTTAAAAAAAATAAAAGAAAAACACAAAGAGAGCACCATTGTGTAAGTAAAACAAAGGCTTGAAATACCTAAGACTATTCCACCGAAGTCCATATTAGTTAAAACCTAAACATACTGTGTGGTATAAGGATGTCAGGCACATGTAATCTGTTATCAGTTATATCAATTAGTAACACTGTTCACACATTTACCATAACAACACTGCATTAACATTCTGCATGTATTTTACATAACCAGCAATTGGATAAAAGGCTCTGGTGCCTCTGAAGTGTAGGAGGAGTGTGACCAGCATGCATGCCAGAGTACTGGATACACAGTGCACCATCAACCCATGCTAAGTACTTGGACAGGAAATGCTATCTCAAAACCAGCCATTCTGCTACACAACCATTGATACCAACTAGTCCAATTAGCCAAAACTCTCACCAACATCTTAAAGCACAGCACTAAACCTAGTGGAGGTGACAGTGTCCCCAGAGAGGACAGACTACAACTCTGGGAATGTTTTCACAATGTTTTCATTCCATCTTAAAGTAATTAATGTGAACTTCATCAAGGGATGAGCGGTTACACAACTGAAGGAAGGAGTCAACTACTTCCAGCCCATGCATTACAGTAAGGACCCACTGAGACCTGCTGCTGCTCCAGCTCAGCCTTGCCAAGGCAAGGTCAGGCCTGTCCTGGGGCAGGAAAAGCCTCTTTATTTAATGCACATTCCCTTTGGAGTGGCACAAATCCTGTCAATCCACGGAGCTGTTGGCTCTGCCAGCCCTGCCATGGGTCTGCAGTTGAGCACAGCAGTGTGTGCAGGGAGAAGGGCTGCAGGCAGATGGAACCAGGCCACACTACTGAAGTGCATGAGCAAACATCAGCACGAAGCCACAGCAGCTTTCTGTGGTTTCCAGAATCTCAAACTGCTTTCTCCACCAATAAACAGCCATCCAAGGCTACATGGGAACAAGCCCAGGCTGGGCACTTGCCTGAAGGGAGAACTCTCTATTGGAAAGTTAGATCACATTAGAAAATGGTGACAAACTCTACCAGAATAAACTAAACCTTGTTACATCAAGCACATGGTTCTGCTTCCCAAGCCGTAACAGACTGCCTTTAGAAGAGAGGCTGGGCAAGAGTTGCTCTGCCACTGTTTGGCACAATGCTCTTGCTTACTCCAGTTCTGTAATGACACAACTTATCTGAAATTCAGCTAAGGATGTAGCCTGGCTACAAACTTCTAAAGCCAGTGAAGATGAGCCCACTCATGCTGCAAGACCTGCTGTGAGCAAGTTTGCTGTCATGGTGCAGTCACACAAGCTGCACTCCTGGGCCCATGCCAACTGCAGGCACACACCAGTGTCTTTGAAATTCAAAGCTGGGGTAAAACCTATCAAGGGTCATTTCATTACCTTCCTTCTTTTAGGAGGAGTTTGAGCTTTTACCATAAAAGCCACCTCCACTTGAGCCGGGGCATCGACCTCCAGAGGTCCCTGCCAGCCTAAAGAAGGGAATGTCACAGCCTGAGTCATTCTGTGGCACCACACAGTAGCTGTGGTACTGGAATCTGCAGGCTTGGAAAACAACCCACAGCCAGGGCAGGAATGAACAGCAACCATCACCTGGGCAGGATCTGTCACAGCTTCCTCCAGGCCCAAAGCTGCACCAACGCCGATTCCCCGCCGCGCTCGGGCTTCCCCCAGGTCCCGTGTGCTGACAGCAGAGCCCCTCAGACCCGGCTGAGCGAGGAGCAGAGGCAGCAGAGCTCTGTGATGCTGTTGGACACCTCAGCAAGTAGTTGGCATTCCTTAGGATTTACTTTAAAAGCAGCTGAATCCAAGAGGCAACAGCCATCCAACAATGACAGTGAAGTTATTTGCAGTAATACCTGTACAAGAGCCATTACCACTGTTACAGGCTACCTGAACTGGTAAGAAAAGTTATATACAGCTGTAAAATTGGTTTTGGAGTTTCACAGGTAGAAACCAGTTTTAATACCAGAATGTAAAAATGGCACCTGTCTCAGCAAAGGTGTTGACTAGGAAATTGGTTCAAAACACACTTCTATGGAAAAGAATTCTTTTAGAAAAAGAATATTTTCTTAAAATTCCTTAGTAACAAATTTCCAGAATGATTCACTCAAGGCAGCTGTGAGTTAAAAAAAATAATCAAGTGCACCACTAAAAAATAAACTGAGTCTGCAAGATCCCAAAGAGCTGCTCACTTTAGAGAGTTACAAGAATTCCATAGTAGTTCTATAAATGCAGACAGATCACAAAGCAAAACACTGAGGAATTGCTGTGAGACACAATACAGTGGGATTTTGGTCCTACACCACAGGCTGCTGTTAGGAAATGTTCCTTCTCCAGTATAAGAAGCGCCTTTTTCTTATTTTAAAAGTGAATTTACCGTGATTGACTGGTACATTTATTGGCACCTTCACCATTATAGACATGGCGAGTTTACAGGCACAGTCTGGAAGTACTGAAGTTTAGGATTAAAAAATGTCAGAAACTTGACAGAAGTCATCTCAGCCAGAAATCCTTTGGATATACTACAGGATTCTGGGTCCTTCTCTTTCCTACCTGACCCAGAGACACCCAGACTCCTCATCAGTTCCAATGAAAGACAGCTAACATCATCTTCCAACCTGGTGATTTAAAATTCACATTATCTTTAAAATAAGTCACTTAAGAGAAGCCAATAGACTTAATCCCCCATTCCAAAATAGCCACAGATGTTCAGATTCCCAAGGGAACATCCACTGGGAGTGCAGACATGCTGCCAGGCACCAAAAAGTTCAGCATCCTCCCTGGGCAGTTTCAAATGGGCATCAGTCACATGATTTTCCTGTCTCTGCATGAACTTACTTGGTGAGATTTCTAAACAACTGACAGCAAAATCAGAATCAAATCAGGAAAGGAGCAGAAATGGCCATTTACAGTGTTGGAGCTGCAGAATATCTGGCATCACTAAACCCCCATGGCACAGCCCTCAGAGCACACAGAACAAGCACATATCCTCAGGGAAGTTTTCAGGGGTCACACAGGTGCAGTTAAGTTACACAATTCCTTTGGTAATTCACACTGCACAGAACTAACAACAAGCACTTTTGGCTGTGGAGTGCTTTGGCAACCCCTGAATTTGGAGAGGAATTACAAGCAATTAACTGCACAGTTAAATCCTCCTTAGGAATTGAAGCAAAGTCCTGAATTTCTCAGTTGGTGTGGAATGAGCAATCTCTGCACACACTGCTCTGGGCTCTGAGCAGCAGCCAAGGCACTGGGAGTGCACATCAGCTGCAGCTTGTGAGGAGCCAAACCCACACGTGTGGCCAGAGCTGAGCTGGCCACGGCACTTGGCCACTTGGCTTCTGTACCCACAGACTGCATGGAATAACTGATGCAAAAGCCTGCAGGGAGGAAGCTAAAACATCTGGATTTACTTTATTTTCCAATTATTTCTGCTGTTGGTGCAAGTCTACCTGGCATTAACTCCTGGGTGTTTGGAGGTCATGACTGCCAATGGATGAACCAGGAACCACTGGCTTCAAGGAAGAACCCCCTGATCAAAAACAGGCAAGCAGGTCAAGAAGTGAGTGAATAAGGCTGTAGGTATTAACTGGGAGTCTCCAGGGCCTTTAAAAAAAATTCAAATGCCTTCCATTATAAAAAACACATACATACCATTGGCTTCACTTTATCTACAGTAAATTCACAAAAACATTTAAAACAGCAATCTAGTTCACCCACTACAAAACTCAGAAGTGACATCTCAGGTTAAAAGCAAAGCTATAAATGTAATTCCATAAAAAATGCAAACATATTTCTTTACATACAGACAAATGTTACATGATTGGCTGCTATAATGTGTATATTCTGTTATGTACAAAAAAAAGTACAGGATTAGCAGACTGAGCACAAGCAAAAACCCTTCAAGGACAATCTAACCAAACCACCAAAAACAAAAAGACTGGCTCTTAGTTTGTCGGTCACCATGATTATGTGTGCTGGCCCCTTTTAAAAAGTCAGTGATTTCTTCCCCCCTCCCCTATTACTTCACTTGATTTTTTTTTCTAGTTTACAGAAAGCCTTTTTGTGTAATAATCAGTGAATAGAAAAACTTCACCTGCAAATACAAGGTAGAAATGTTATTTCACAGCTATAGGCTGCAGCATTGATCTCTCCAGATCTCAAATGGAGAATGTACATGTTTGGCTCCCAGTTAATTCCAGATTCTGAGAAAACTGTCCCAAGACCCTGTAGCTACAGCCATGCCGTCATCAGTAACACCTAAACAGCTGACACGGTTGTCATGGCCAGCCAGGACACCTGGAAAAGAAGAAACAATGGAAGTTCAGCGTCTGCAAGATGCCAAGGACCTCAGTTGTTACTCTGCTCTCCCAAGTAAGTCTTAAGTGTACTAAAAAAGATACAATGCAAGATCTTAATTCTTCTTTTTTGTCTTTACTCTGAGGAACCACATAGACTGTAACAGCCTTATCAAAAAATCCAACCATAAGGTATGTAAAAATATCTACACACAATATTGCCTCCATTTTTCTCTCTGCCCTTATGACTTCTCCTTTCTGTCCCATAGATGTCTCCCCTAATCTGGCTCTCTAGTGGCTTTTCCCTGTTTTCTACAGTGCTATCCACAATTTCAGCCATCAAGCACTTCCAAAATCCAGTGTGATGTCTCCTGACAAAGCCCTGGATGCATTAACTACCTTGAGTTTCTCAAGTTTTGCAAGCCCTAGGGATTACAAATCCCCCATATATTGTGGCAAACAGAAGAGCAGCACTAGCCTGCCTCTTTCCTGCTTTGGTTCTGTTTTCTCTCTAAGTCTTCTTGCCCTTGTCTGCTCTCCCAAGATTCCCCATCCAGGTGTAGCAGAACTAAGGAAAAGGATTTGTGTTCAGTCTGGACAGCAGAACTGATGTTCAGAACTGAACCAGGCCCAAGCATTTAAGTTACTCTAAGAAGTGAGAAAGAAATAGCAGTGCTATAAAACATGCTGTGTGCTGACAAAAGTGACTGATTCAAGGACCAGAAGTTTCCACTTTCCCTTTCTCCCAACAGCAGGGAATGCAAAGCCAAAAGACTCCTGTAGCTACATCTGAATTACTGCCACTCATGGGTGCAAAACACAATGCAAACGTGTAATTCTGCACTACTTAATCTCATACACTTCAGTGAAATACATTTCCTGTAGATGCAATTTTGGAGGGCATTCCTCAGCCTCGAGAGCTGGGATCTCCCAGCACACAGATCTGTAAAGCCCAACAACAGGCCTGTTCTCCTGCCTCATTTACTGCTCACACCACAGAGATGGAACTGAAATGCAGTGTGACTTCTGGAAGACAAATAAAAGGATGCCATTTCGAGAGAAAACAGCACTAAAGGAATCCAGCAGATCCACACCAGCAGCACCCTGGCTCTGCACTGTGCACCACCCGTGGCCGTGTGCTCACCTGCCCTCTCCCCTTTGAGGGTGTCCCAGACGTTGCAGTTGAAGTCGTCGTAGCCGGCGAGCAGCAGGCGGCCGCTCTTGGAGAAGGCCACGGAGGTGATGCCGCAGATGATGTTGTCGTGCGAGTACATCATCAGCTCCTGGTCCGCGCGCAGGTCGAACAGCCGGCACGTGGCGTCGTCGGAGCCCGTGGCGAACGCGTGGCCGTTGGGGAAAAACTGCCAGAAACGTGGGGGTGAGACACGGGGGCTCAGCATGGAACAGACACTGGTCATGCTGAGCTGGACACAGCACAGCACTGTTTCACCAGGCAAAGGCAGAACGGTTTGTTGTATTTCTGCATGTTGGATGATGCATGTACGCAGCTATGAAAGGGAACACCTCTGGAACAGCACTGGGTGTTGCGGTGTGCTGTAATGTCCCATTTTAGACTTCCAGGTCACCTCCCAGGTGTGCCTGTACCTCTTCCCCCTCGCCCCTTGCTGAGTGAGTCCTGTCAATCAGGCTTAACATTCCAGCAAGTTCAAAGGATGCCCCTCAGGCCCAGGGGTCATTGGCCTGTCTAGGTGTCATTCCCCCCTGAGTCCCTGCCCCTCTCACCTGGTTGGTGGCTCACCTGTCCCCTCCCCTCCCCCTGCCCCAGGAGCTTAAAAAGGTAATCAGGCCATGCGGTCGGCATTCTCTTGGAGCAGTTGCCTACATTCAGACCTCTATAACCATGGAATAAACCTCTGGATATAAACTCTCCAGCAGAATCCATCTCCTTTTCCTCCTCACCATTCGCCTGAAGCCTTCCTTCCTGAGGTAAACGGAGTCCCTAACAAGCCTGTTCAGTGCCCAGCTGCAATCTCCAGCAAGCTAAAGGTGTCTCTGGGGTGATACACCACAGCTGCTGCCTTTGGCCTAGCAGCAAGGGTCAGACTGGCCCAGGCACAATCTAACTGGTAATATTGGGATTCATATTCCAATAACTGGGGACACCTGAGTGACTGGAATTACAGCCAGGCAGCTCCTGGGTGTGCTCTAAGAGCAGTCACAGGGATGCCACTGACTCCTACAAAATGAAGCAAACCCCAGCTCTGCACATCCTGGCTGAAGTGGAACACAGTGTTCCATCCTGAGCTGGTCAGCCAGGCTGGCTCAGCCAAGACAGAATACTGCAAACAAACAATTCAATTTCCTAAAAAAATCTATTCCAAATCCGAGTTATTCTCTCAACAGCAATATTGATTGAAATGGGAATGGAGAGAGCCCTGCACATCTCAGGGTTCAGGTCTAAGTATAGGAACTGCATTTTTGTACTGGTCATGTGTTTGGTATTTTCTCAGCCTTAACAATTTTTCATGTTTATCAAAAACAGATGCAGCTTCGACTTAGATTTCTTTCTCTATTTACCAGAGCCTGGATCTTGCAGATCAGAACATAGTGTTACTATGACAGAGGGGAAATATAATCCACTTTCTAAATATTACCATATTATTCCAGGGAATATTCAATATCAATACTAATTTTAATTGCCTTCCAGAATACTTCACTGAAAGCTCTTTTTGTTCAACTAAAAAACTTTAAGATGAGGATGTTTGGCTGTGTTTTACCCTCTCAGTATTCTGCATTTATCTACAATTTTCAGTTTTTAACACGTTGCCATGCTTCAAAAAAGTTTCCCTAGTCCATTCTTTACTTCTTAAAAAAAGTGATGTCTCAATTACTGAATAAAAACACAGGGGAAACTATTCCAGGAACAGCACAGTGCATCACAGATAATGGCAATAATAATTCACTTACAAAGTAGATTGTAAGTTATTACACAACCTTCTCCATTACATACAATTTAACATTCTCTACCCTAACTAACTGATTTTAAATCAAAGCAGCTCAGTAGACTCTAAGCTGAATTCATGCAAATGTAGCCTTTATCCTCCCCCTTTCTTCCCACGTGGAAGCAGGAGAATCACTTACACAAACTGCATTAATGTCTGACACGTGCCCCGTGAAGGACTGCCTGCACATCCCATCGCGGATATCCCAAAGCTTCGAGGAGGCATCGCAGGCGCCCGAGACAAAAGTCCTCATGTCTGGGCTCAGGGAGAGGCTCATCACATCTCCAGTGTGCCCAGTGAACGTGGTGGTCTGCTGGCCAGTCTCTATGTCCCACAAAGCACTGCAGATGGAGTTAACACAACGTCTGTCGTTACTTCAGAGTTCAAATTTTAAATACAAATTAAGGCACTGGAGAGAAAAAATTAAAGGAAGAAAGAGGGGATGGTAGAAGGCCAACAGAGCTCAAAAACTCACCAAGTGGTGTCTCCTGAGCTAGTGACAATTTGGTTGTCATCTAGGAAGCGACAACAGGACAAGTATCCTAAAAACAAAACAGTTGTGTAAGGGTTTGACCCAGGAGTAAAGACTGAAGGTGGAAATGCAAGAACAGCCCCAAGCTGTGCCACAGCAGCAGAGCAGAGGCAGTGCCAGCCCGCAGCAGGGCTGTCCCCTGGAGCAGCAGCACTGACCTGTGTGGCCCGGCAGCTCGCGGCTCACGCGCACGTTGCCCTCCCTGGTTTTCAGGTTGTAGATGGAGCAGATGTTGTCCAGGCCCCCGCACGCCACGTAGTTGCCCGAGGGAGCGTAGGCACAGGTCATCACCCAGGAGGACCTCAGGGGGATGGCGTGCATCTGCAGGGACACTGCAGGCTCAGAGCACACACCGGGGCCACGGGGCACCCCCAGCACCAGCACCTGGGTTTACAGCCCATCACACCCAACCCACTGCATTGTACACACCCACAGCTCCTGGTGACAGATACCAGATCTTCGGTACATGATTTCATAGCAAAGCTATTGTAAACTTACACATTTACAGTCCTCGTTTATTCTAGTTAAGATTTCTCTGTCCAACTCATTTACATCTTTAAACCACAGGTTGTTATATATACAGCAGGATGGCTGTCCCCATGGAGACTGCCTGGTTTACAGAAGCACAGCTCCACTCCACACTACCTAAGCTTTTCCCTAACAGCTGTTTTCCTTCCTTCTCCTTCCTCTGCCCTCAAACCCAAAGCACTCTTGTAAATTCTGAGGTTGTGTAGTTCTATAATTCAAAACCAAGTTAGTTTTAGAAGCGACACCACACAGGCAGAGAGCTACAGCTACTGCACTAGGCAAGTAAGAGTGAAAATGTTACATGTTATTATGTAATTAACTATTGCTTCAGAGACACAACCTACAACACATCACTGGTACTCACCCAGCCATGAAAGGAACAAAAAGACTGACTGAATGAGAAAGACTACTTTTGATTTTTGATTTGCAACCATGGTAAAAGACAGACACAAGCCCATTCAAACACACAGATTATACATGAATTATTGATAAGGAGTATAAATAACTACCTTATTTGTTGTGTAACTATCCCAAATAATTAATTTTCCATCTTGAGAAGCACTGACTAGTAGCCTAAATATGAACACAAAATAAAATATGTTAATACAAAACAAACAAAAAAAACCTCAAAATACACATACATCATGCATGATTATCAAGTGATTCAGAAGTTTCATAATTTCTTTATTACCTTCTGCTTTTTTCTTTTTATTGACAGGGTGCATTTGTTGCAAAGATTTAGATCTCCATATCACCTGACTGAGGAATCCCACAGAGACTCATGATTGAAAATGAACACAAGTGCACAACTCACTAAAAGCACATTTTATGAACTCTCCCCACAACTGCTTTCATTATTCATATAACTACACAGTTACACAAAAGCAAATAAGGAATTTAGGCAAAAATAAATCTTGAGAACAGATTCTAGATGAATTCCTCCCTGGAGGACACAATACAGAGGCAGTGTTTACACCTCACCATCAGCTGCTCTAAAGGCAGCAGAACAAAACTCCAAGTTACTTTTCCCGCTAGGTACAAAAGGATCTTTTTTCAATGAAATAAAAAATTGTCAGTAAAGTTTTTAAATCCCTACCATAGAAGTTACAAAATTCTTCAACAGTTTGGAATGCACAATTTCCAACATTCCAAAAAATATGTCTCATCACATACTCTCTATTGCTGAAACAAGACTCAAAAACTTAAGCTAAAATTGAAAGAAGGAGAAAGCAAAATGCCTATGGCAAGAACAAGCAAAGTATCTCTACTCTGAACCCCCAGCAGTGCTAGTCTGTGATCCCCTGCAGGGGCAGCAGCTCCACTCCATCAGCTCCCAGGGCCTGACATCGAACTGAAGGTGCCACTGGGATCCCCAGCCCTTCCCTGGCAGCTCCAAGCTCCCTGTACACACCTGGAGTCGGATCCCCAGTGCATGGCACAGATTTTGGCTAAGGGACCTCTGAGCTGACATTAATGTGAAGGTGCCAGGAGGATCCCCAGCCCTTCCCTGGCAGGTTCAAGCTCCCAGTACACACCTGGAATCAGATCCCCAGTGCATGGCATAGATTTTGGCTAAGTGACCTCTGAGCGTGCGCCGGGTTCGCATTTGGATTCGACCCACGGAGTCCAGACTTGTTGTGATCTAAAAATAAACCAAACAAACCCCTGAGATACTGGGAACTATTTTTAACGCACAAGATAACAAAAATACATTTGAACTTTGATAGATTATCTATCTTGGCACACAACAAAAACCATTAAAAAATAGGATAGTGGTGTACACCCAGCAACACCGACACAAACAGATTTTACAGAGACATAACACACTCCACAGTGGTCACAATGAAACTTCAGGAAGCTCTTTTAAAATACTTGTACATTTTACTATTTCAGATTATTAAATCTCAAAGTTTTCATTTTAAACCAATGAAAGAAAATGCTTCAGTATTTACTGCACTGTTAGTTTTTAAAGCATGGCAGAACTTTATATGCAAAATAATTCTGTTTCCAAAAAACTGCTAAAAGATATTTAAGTCTTTCTAAATATATTTAACACAAGAAACATACTGTACTTAAAAGGTAAACTGGAAGCAAGATCCATAAAGATAGTGGAGGGGGGTTGACTGGTTGGGGTTTTGTGCTGTTTTGTTTATTTGGGTTTTTTGGTGGGGCTTTATACACTTATTTAAAACTAAACAAACACACTGTACATTTCCGAAGGCTTCTTTCACTTTATTCTTTCAGATACTGAACAGGAACATGCCAGAGTCACAAAGTGATATTTTTATTTTTCATCTCTCAAGAAACAGCCTACACAAAGAGCAGGAACATACCTGAGCAAGAGTTGTGTCACTACAGGCTTTCCTGGCATCCTGAAACAGAAAATGGACCAAGTTGAATTGGAAAGGTAACACTGAGCATCAGGTGAGAGGGTCTAAAGGAAAAGGAACTCTTGAACTAAATGTCAACACACTCAAAGCCACACAGCACCACCAACCGACATGCCAATATTCCTTCTGTCACCCTAATCTGTTTTATTGTGCAAGGAATCTAAAAAGCAATGGCACACAACGAGGGGTGGTGGAGGAAGAGGGACTTAAGAAAGGCCATGCCCCAGCAGCCTTTGAATCTCCCTTTCTACAGACTATGGGATTCAAAGGCATTTGGAGCCATCCTGAAGTCCCAGTGCCTACCCTGTTCCCTGTACTCCTTCCCTGGGCTGGCTGTGCTTGCTCAGGGTGTGCTGAGCACAAGGGAAGAACTGATCCACCTGGAAAAGCAACCACATGTTACACAGCATTAGCAAGCTCTGTGCCCACATTAACCCTCCTGCTGGCTGGGAGAGAAGGGTGAAAATCAGCAGGCAGGATGCCAGGAGCAGGACAGACAGCAGGATTACCAAGGCTTAGTGATGATGTACTTGACACAAATGGAAGGGAAACAAATGGCCCAGTGACACCCTCACCCATTTCATGGAATGGGTGGTGCCCAGATCTCCACACAGACACTCCATGGGTTTTTCCTTATCTCAGACTCTATGGACACAGGACTTGTTTCCTGCATATGATTCAACCTGACCTAGAAAACAGACTTGACTTTCATTGTGTAATTCAGTCCCACATTGAACCCTGGCACAGGTGAGCTCCTCTGAGCCTCCCCTGCGGCACAGATTGTGCAAGGGCTGGTTTCAGTCCCAGCTGTGACTGCTCTGCTCTCCTGCAGCCCAGGGCCCTTCCCAGGACACCCAGGCATGGCCTGTCCTCCTTCTGACAAAATGGCTTAAAGGGCTTGAAGTTAGGCAGGAGCTGTGCAGCACAAATTGAAGTTAAAACATCACCAGGAGCAGCCACAGAACCCTCTCAACTCCTGGAAATTTCTCCACCTTGTGCAACCAGTGAAGCAGCCACCCAAAAACAATGGTGCCTCTTCAGCAGCACTTGGTGTGTCCCTCCCAAGTTCAGTCTGTGCAGATTGTTCAGTCTGTCCCTTCGAGAGCAGGAACAGAAACATTTGCTTGCACATTTTGGATCTGCTTCAACATGATCAGGCTGGGATCTTCAGGTTTTTTCAAGCTCTTGCTCGAGAGTTACTTGACATTGCAACTTTAACATTTCTTAAGTGCATGTTTATTTTGACCACCCTTTGTAGCTCTCCTCCCAAAAAGCAAGCCTGAGAGTGGATTAAGTCATCTCAACTTATTTTTATAATGTCTGAACTGTAGAAATATTTATAAAATGTTGACGTCTGGAATCAGCAGGGGTTTAAAATACCAGAGCAGCAAATCCCTTAGCACTCGGGACTTATTTCATCCACAGGAAGAAACACACTGCATTTTAAATGACTACTTGTTGGATTGTCCTGAAATAGCTAAAAATGTTCAACATAAAATGAATTCTGAATGCAGTCTGAATGAAACAAAGCTTTTTTGCTCTTTAAGAGCAAGCTATTAGCAACTCCTGTATTTGAGGCTAATACTTGCCATACAATTGGCAAAACTGCAGGAAAAGGAGACTTTCAACAGGCTATTTTAATTCTTACCTTGAAACTGTATTTCTACATATGCATCACCATAACATAATCATTAGTGTCAAAACATAAAAAACTTCTTTATGTAATTGCAGATTTTTTTTCAGTTCATGCAGCAAGACAATGCAAAATTTGTGAGAAAAATCCAACTGCTTGATCAGTGTGCAGCCCCCAGACTTTCCTAGCACACACTTCAGGTTGCAGTTTTTCTCCCCAACTACCTGTATTTTTTAAATATAGTGTTATTTGTCCAAAATTTCTGGTTTGAATGACACTGTGCCAAGTAAGCAACACTTCTAAAAATTGAAATTATCCTCAATTTCAGTTCTCACAGTGAGGACACATGTATGACATGGGAATTTCATTACAGACAGAACTAAGAATTAATTTTAGCCATCAAGCCATCTGACAGATATCTGACAATTCACTGTTCCACCTTCCTGCACTACAGATTCCTGCACTCTCAGGCTGTGCATTGTCTGTGCACAGACCAGAGCTCCAGCTGCATGGGGAGACACATCATCTAGATACTGCAAAAATAAAATTAATAGCCATGAAACCCTTCTAAAATATTGCAGACTGAAGTCCATTGGGGAATCAACAGCTCTGCACTGCAGTTTCTACACCTCAGGACACTGTTAGGTACAATCTTATCTGGACCTCACTTCTAGGCACAAAGCTGATTTTCTGTGATTATATTGTTAGAGGAAATACCAGACAAAACCCAAGAGTTGTCCACGACTAAGACAGAAAAATGCTAGCTGTACATAAAACATCAAATGCAGTTAGTGACCTCATCTCTTTTAAGGAGTGCATCAAAAATAAATCCTGAAAATAATCAGCCCAGTAGATATTCTTGACACTTAAATCCCCTATTTCCAGATCCTGTATCTATCCTCTTACCCATCCCAAACAAAAACTGTGCAATGATTTGATTAGCAAGATAAGCAGCCATCTCTTCAAATATGAAATTGAAGTATTTGATCAGAAAGTTTTATGGACATTAAGTCATCAGAAGCATTTTTAATTGCCCAAGGATCTGAAGTTAGAATTAAGTACAATGTGTCCAGGCCTGCACTCAGATGCCAAGAGGGAATCACCAATTGCCATTGCTGAGCCAAGGGACCCCAAAGGCAAGAGAACCAAGGTTACTGAGCTACAGCTGACAGATCCAGTTTCCAGTCTGGGTGGTTGAGTTACAAAGGAAATGTTAAATCAACCTAAAGCCACAAAATGGAGCCATTACCCAAGAGTCCATCACATTTCTGTGCTCCAAAATTTAAAAAGTAAGCAAACATTCCTGCAGCACACTCTAAGCCCTCTAACTTGCCTGGTAGCTCTTTCTTCCCACAGCTTTACATGAAACCAGACTCACCAATTGTGTGAGACTGAACAAAGACTCAACTGGCTCCCCTCAACATAACACCATGATAAAGTCTTTACACATCATGCAGAGAAGAACTGAAGAATTATGAACCCCTTTTAGCAGCATAATTCTGTAGTAAAGCTTCAATTGGAACAAAAATAAATAGTATTTTAAGCTAAAAAATTCCTTGTTTCCTCTACAGAGCAGGTGGAAGGGGCACAGTGGCACAGCACTGCCTGATCCCCACCTTGTCTTTCCAGAGGATGTGAAGTGAGAGCAGGACACAGAGGCATCCCTGGATGGCTCTGAATGAGCAGCAGCTGCCCCAGCACAGCCCTGACACACCAAGTGTGCTCAGCACGAGGCTGACACCCCCAGCAGCCTCACACCTCGCAGGAGACACCACACAGCAACTGCTGCCAGCACTAAAAAAAGTGCCATGCTAAAAAAAGCCTCTGTGCATGCAACACATTCTGAGAAATCTGTACTCTTTATTCTTTAAGCCATTCCCATATAAATCAGATTTATGAATGCTTCGTGCTTTGAAAATTTTGATGAAAAATAAACAGACTTTGAAGATCTTTATTATACTTCCCTGAAAACTGCATCACTGACATATAAATGCACGTTGCAGAAGATTCCTGGAAAACTAACTTTGGGCATGACAGCTCATCCTTGGTTTATCTTCACTGAGTAAATACAACAAAAAAATAGCCTGTATGGAGGCATCAGCATTTAATAAAAATAAACTCTACAGGAAGCCAAGAAACAGTGCTTGTAGAAATGACATCCATTCTGGAAGGCTCTCTCACACTCCTGCTTTAACATCAGGTGCCACCTTTAGCCCAGGACCAAGCTCTTCTAACACCCTTAAGCCAAACTTGTCAGGCCTAGGTTCTAGGAGTTTGCTGCTCCCTTCTGTTTCTAAAAACCCAGAACATAGAACTTGCAGAAACACATACACCCCCCAGCACCAAAACTCAGCAAACCTCAACAGAAAATAAAGCATTTTCTTCAAGAAATAGTACAAATTTACTTCATTACACCAATGGCTTTTCTGATTTTTACTCAAATATTCTGAAAATATTTTAAGCTCTGCACGAGTTAAACTGGAACAACTGCTAGATCTTTACAGTTTGTTCCCAAAAGGGAGGAGATCTTTACAGTCTGTTCCCATGAAGGAGGAGTTTTAGCATGGAAAAGAAGCAGTTGACAATTCTTACTCTGATTTGGTTTCGCAGCTGCTCTGCCTCCTGCCGTAACTGCTCCAGCTCACTCATCTTCAGCCTCTATTTCTCACACTCCACTCGTGAAGAAAACCTGCCAAGAGGAGGGAAAGAGATACTGAAAGTTATTTTTTTCCTCTTTAGAAAACATAACAAAAAAAACTACGAATCTGTGTATATATTTATTTTTATTCTACTTTTAGAAAGGCTTCCAAACAGACATTCCCTTTAGTACACCGTGTTAATGAATTTGGCAAGACCTAAGTGATTTCAATTCCTGAATTACCACGAGAAGCAGAATTAAGTGAAGTCTATTTTAAATACAAAAGCAACTGTCAACAGAACCACCCACTGTACTTTACAAACCTGTTTTGTAGCAGCTCCCTGCTCCCCCGCCCGGAGATCTCTGTCAGGCTGTGCCCCAGGATGGCAACACAGAGCAGAGGCTGCAGCTGCCCCCAGGGTTTGCCCTGGGCTCAGCAGGGCTGTGGTACAGGCACCTGGCACAGGACATCCAGGGCAGACTTGGTTTTATTAAACATGAAATTTCTGAATCCTAGACTACAGCTGAAATAACAGATTATCTCCACTTTTTTCTCTCTTTTTTTTTTTTTTTGGGCAAAACACAATGATCTTTAAATTTCAAAAGCACCCACAGAGTGAGAAGGGATAGCAAAAACCAAATCCTCCCTAAAAGCATCCTTGTGCTGATACAGCCCTCTGCTCCCTAAAGCAGTTGTCATCTGAATGAGGACTCCAAGCCAATTTAATAAAAATATCAATTAACAGTAAGACCACATGCAGGCACACATTCAGATTATTTTTTTTCAAATCAGATTTTTGCATTTGATTTTTTCAGTGTTGAACAAAGCTTCCTCAGATCAATTTTCAGGTTTTTTATCCCCAGCACAGCAGTGCAGTCAAACACCACTAGAGACCTCTTAAGTCTATTCACACACATGGAGACTTCAAAATCCTTGCAGTGAAAGCAACATCAAGTAAATTGCTCACAGACAAGCCAGGCACTTATTTGTAATTTTTTCATGACAGAAAATGCACACCAGAAAGGTGACAATAGTGGTCCCATGACATTATATAAAAAGCCAAAACACTTCTAGCTTGTAGGGGAAGACAGACAAGTCAGACTACTGCTCACAAAATGAAAATTGAGGAAGGAAGGAAAAGAAGCAGGAAGAAGAACCTATTCAAAACGTTAGTCTATGTTTCCTATTTAGTACACTGAAAAATGGCCAAAAACCAGAGAAAAAAGGTCACAGTGTGTCTGGTAAGTTGTAGACCTCTGGGGAAACCCCTTTATTTGATCTGGCTATTCGTTCTCTGCAGTTCAGTAGTGATGTGCTCTGAAAGACTGACTCTGGAAAGGTTTTTTCCATCTATAAAACACCACACAGATTTAAAAGAGTGAGAAGTCTTGGTTCAATGCAATTTGTAATAAAAAAGTCATCCTTGAACTAAGAGTTTATACAAGTGTTTGAGAGCTACAAAGTTTATTGCTTCTCAAGAAGAAAAGTATCTTCGCTAATTATCCATCTACTTCCTTTCAATCTCTGCTTGCCACAGGTCTCACTCCAAGTCCATTTCAGAACCAGCTCACAAACACACATTGGCTTGGATCATCTCCATCATGCCCAGCAGTGACAGGGATGGTGACTCAGCTCTAACCAGTATTTCCAGCTACATGTAAGCAAACTGTGAGGTTCACACATTCCCCTTCCCTAAACCTGTGCTCTGTTCAACTACCAAGATGTTGTAATTCATATGGGAATTCTCCAGGAGACTTCTCCATTTCCTACTGTGCTCCTTTTTCAGCAGCCCAGACTATTTAACACTGCTGAATGCACAGCAGGCATAACACACAAGCCATCAACACTGGTGTCCAATTTTAAAGATTAAGCATTAAAACCATGACTTTAGCACACACATTAATCACAAACCTTTATAGGCTATCAGTTTAATTACAACCTTAATGCCTTTAATGGGGATACCTCTATGAAACATAGCCCCACTTTCAGTTATGACAGCGCCAAATTAACCTTTTCAGTATGATTCTCCCTTTTTATTCCAGAACCTACTGAAAGGTAACACAGACAAAACAATGGTCTCAAAGGTCTAAAGCCAGCCAGCCATGCTGCCTGCCAATGCTTAGCAGTCTTATGTGCTATTTTTAACAGGAGATGAAGATTCCTAGCAGGGAAGTTGATGCATCTCCAATTTTCTGAGAAGGGAAGTCAGCTTCTGCCCTGTGCTGTGCCACACACTTCAGTGCTCTGCAGTCACTTCAAATTCTCACAGAGAATCACTGATCAGAAAGAAAGTGACATTATTCACAGCTGGAAGCACGCATGGCCAGTCACAAGCACCCAAAGTTAGGGTATTTTTCCATTCATAGGTAAAGCTGTGAGCAAATCTGAGAATGGGCTGTAGCACTGCACTGATATTCAAAGACAATTCTGCACATGAAGTTAATGGTAATTAATGTCACTCCTATCAGCACTGTTCACCACTAATGCCATTTCTGCACCAAGCTGCACCAGCAGCTGCACAGCTGGTAAACTTCACAACTTTAAATTGTGTCACACTTCTCCAAGTTCCTACATGGACAAACTCCAGAAGCCTCCTCACTCACCCACATGTCTTCAGTTAAAAAATAATTCTGAAGTGAATAAAAGGAAAATGATCCTTCATATTTTTGAAAGCAACTTTTAGCAGTGGCAGAGCCCTAGCAGCACCAGCACGTGCTAAACCTGCAAAGCCTTAAGCACCACTGCTCAGCAGAAATGTGTCAGTGGTTCAAGGTCAACCCCAGTGAGCAGAGAGCTGCCTTCAAACCAGCACACACTTCCACTAAATCCAGGCTCACTCTAGAACTGGCTCACTGTAGCTTTGAGCAATAAAGTTCCTTTCCAGCACACAGCATTTGAACAACTGAGATATTAAGCTATGTATAAACACCAAGATACCACAGTAAACAAACTAAGTGCAGTTCAACTATTAAATTGAAGTGTATCCAACACTGCTGCGCTGCCTGGCAGCAGCTCCCAATGCAAAGGCCTGTGTGCTCAGATCATCCCCACCATTAAATATTTAGCAGAACTGAGAGAAAGATGCTTCCACTTGGGATTTTTTTTTTTTCAAGCACTATTTTCATGTGCCCACAGGAAGCTCCAGAAACTGAGTGGGCAGGGAGGAAGCTCTCACAATGCATTTCCAGATTCACACCAACTCTGCAGGCAGCATCTCTGAACTCCTGTCACACTCCTGTGGGAACATCTTACTGATGTCACCAGACTCACAGCTCCAACACAGGAAGATCAGTACATGCTTGGAAGCTTGGAACTCATGGATGCATCTGTGTCTGTTTCAATACTTCTGATGCTCCAGTATGGTTAAGGAGAGGTAGTTATGTGCAAAGACCATTACCCAGACTAGATTCACTTGCTGTAATACTGTTTCTAAGCCTACCAGTGAGGTGAGCAGTGAAGCACAGAAGAACACACAATGAGATGCTTGGCAGCAAAGCAGAGGCTGCATCCTACAAACCAGTCCTCACTGCAGAGAAGCCAAACACCACCACAACCTTAAAGTGTGCTACCAGGCATCAGGTAAACACCTTGGGTTTTATCAGATTCAATGCTGGGACTGCTTTGGCAGGGTTTACAAGGATTGCCAAGAACAGAGGTGATGGCTGTGTTGCAGACTTTTCCTCACACAAATTACTGACAACCTCCGTGGATTCCTCACCAACCCATACTGGGTTAACAAAGCACACAGTGCCTCTTCACTCTCCCCTCCAAGATCAAAATACCACAGCCTGGAGGGGCAGCAGATACAAATTTCCCCAGGAGGCCAACTGTACTATGCCTGGTCATATACACAGTAGAACCATCAGCTCTTGTATGGGCAGAAAGAGTGAGTGAGGATTCCTCCTGCCACCTCAGGAGACCGGGGGTAATGGGATGTCTACTTCCCTGACTTATTCACAGTTTTAATAAATGTTGAATCAAAGAAAAAATATTCTGAGGTTGCCCAGATGCAGAATACTCATTGTATCTGCTTTTCAGCACTCAGAGGCAGCACCTCTGATGAAAGAGGTCAGAGGCATCTCTTCAAGTACATGTGCATGATGAACTATGAACAGTTCCACCTGCTGAGGCCTTGAGGCAACAGGACAGGGGAGAACCTTTTAGCACCTCTGGTAGCCCAGGGTGCCACTGCAGGACACCCAAAGCAGCAGGGGCTGGAGCCAAGGACACGAGGTGCCTCCACCAGAAGCAGCAGCTCAGGGAGCTCGGGGTACCAGGGAGGCACAACCCTGCCCTCAGCCATTTCCAGGCTGAGCTGCACTCAGTGCAATTTCTCCTCAGACTTGTACAAATGAATTTACTGATACCAAAATAAAGTGCCTCCCAAGGCAATGTATTAACTAAGTCAGATTGCACAGTCTATCTAGTGCCAGGAAAGCCACTGCCAGGCTTGAGCTCTCCACAGATAAATGACTCCTTACACTACTCCTGATTCAGTGGCAGCATCATTTGCTAAGAGTTTAATTCTTCATTATACAGGCAGGCAGTGACAAATTACCCCAGGGTCTTGTCTCCAAAGTACTCTCTTTGCAACCTGTGGACTCAAAACCTTGTGGCTGGAAAAACACAATTTTCTCTGCAAGAGTTACTAGAGAAGTGTAAATATGCCCCTCCCCACAACAAAGGTTTGCTATTTCCGTGCCAAATATATAGATTAAAGGGGCTGCAAAAAGAACGGTCTGTTTGACTGGATTGTTAAGAGCTATCAGACAGTTATTTCAGTAAGAATTTAATTTTCTATCAAAAAATCAGTCCTTTAGAACTGAAACAAGTGCTTACCTACATGTATCAACCTCAGGTTTTCAACTCCTATGCAGCAAGATCTCAAAGATCTCACTCAGTAATACCAATGATCTCAAAGTGATCAACAGACAGGAGGAGAAAGGAGGCTCTACATGGCTTTCATGTGATCACACAGGTGGCTGAACATAAGGAATGCTAACTACAGCACTCTACTAAATATAGGAGAAAGACACCAAGAAACACTCCA